CATCAGATTTCTCGTTGTCTGGGGCTTCATTAGCCGAAACGTCTGAGCCTCTCGGCTTTTTGGCGTTTCGGTCCCGGTGCTTTTCCTCCCCATCGCCACGGTCGCCTCGGCGAGACGTGGATGGCTTGAGGTGATTGCATCGGCGGGCTTCTTTTTGACTGCCCTTTATTTTCTCGGAGCGTCCCTCGTCTGAAACGTATATCATGATTTGATGATACGTGGAGACGACTCCTTGAATGCCGTGAATGAGGGGTCTCCCCATGATCACGTTGTATGCAGATGGAGCATCTACGACCAAAAATTCGGCCATGATATTCCTAGCTGCTCGGCCTTCGCCGATGGTGACAGGAAGTGTAATCTTCCCGTCAGGATACGAGGAAGAGCCGTTGAATCCAGACACCGGGTAGGGTGCGGGGGCCAGGTGCTCGGCTCCCATCCTCAGCTGGTCGAACGCTCCTCGGAAGAGGATGTTCGCCCCGCTACCGCCGTCGACGAGGGTCCGCCAGACGTTGCGGTTGGCGATGCCCAGAATGATTACTAGTGGGTCATCGTGGGGGTATACCACCCCCTCACAGTCTTCGGCTGTGAACAGGATGTTCGGCGCCGGTGACTGGGACTGCCGAAGCTCAGCCTGATGAATCTGATGGGTTAGACCCTCAGTTGGCGTTTGGCTGTGCCTCGCGAGATTCCCCCGGAAATAACTAGGATGTCGAGGGACTCCTTGCCCTGAGGTCCCTTATCCTTCTTCCGAGCGAAGTTGAGGTCCTGCCGAGAATCTTTTTCAGCTTTTTTCTCCTCGCGCCTGTCCGCGAGGTATTGGCTCAGGTACCCCTTGCGGACCAGATCCTCAATCTGGTCCTTCAGCTGGACGCAGTCCTCGGTGCGATGTCCGGGTGAGTCATGGAACTCGCACCACTGGTCCTTTCCCCTCGTCTGATGCCAGGGAGGCAACGGACGAGGTTTTTTGAATCTCCCCTCGTCCTTCGTCGTGCTGAAAATCTTAGCACGGGGAAGGGAGAGTGGAGTGTATGAATCGTACCTTCCCGTGTAGGGAAAGTGTCTTTCCTTCTTCGGCTCGGCAGCAGAGGACGGTTCTGAGGCCTTAGCCTTCCCTTTCCTCTGCGCCGAGACTTCGGGCTGCTGCCCTTTCGGCTTCTCAATTCTCGGACGAGACTGAGACCTGGATCTGTTCCACTCCTCGGCTCGGATGAACCTATCCGATGCTTCCAAGGCTTCCTCCAGGGTCTGCGGGGGATGCATGACCATGAAGTCCAGGAACTTTCCAGCTTGGAGGCCGTTCCGTAGCGCGAACACGGCCAGGCCTTGATCCAGGCTTGTGATTCCGGATGACTCGTTGCTGAAGCGAGTCAGATAGTCGCGGAGGCTCTCGTCCTCCGCCTGCTGCAGACTCATTAGCTCTGCAGTGGTCTTCTCTCGGCGGTTGGCCGTGGAGAATTTGCTCTTGAACTTGTTGGAGAGGTCGTTCCAACCGGTTATGGAGCCTTCCTTGAGCCCTTTGGTGATCCAGGATTGGGCAACACCTTTGAGGGTCGTAGGAAAGTATTTACACCAGGTAGCCTCAGACCTCGGGTTCAGATACATGTGCCCCTCGTAAGAGGCAATGTGATCCTTAGGATCTGAGGTACCATCGTAAGTAATATGTGCCGGGATTTTGACCGTTGGCACATGCTCTTCCAGAATCCACTTCTGGAAGGGCGAGTTCGATGGAACCATGACCGCCTTCCCCTTGTACCCGGCCTCAGGGACCTCGCTCCCTCCTCTCTCAGAGGTGGAAGTGGTTTTCGTCCCCGGCTGAGACAAGGTTGGGTGGGGTCCGGTATCCTCTGGGAAGGTGAGGCGGCTATGCACACTCACCTCCCTCGAACCCAAGCGTTCGTGAACGCTTTGGCGGGCGAATTCCGGGTCCTTGGAGGGCCCCATGGAATTCTGAGCTTCGGAGTGGTCAGAGGGTTGAGGGTTCCTCCTCCTCTCCTTACTGGAGTTTCGGGTGTCCCCTCGCCACCTCTGGCCGAGCTCTCTATGTGGTGGAACTTGTCCACCATCATCCTGACCGATCCTCCTTTTCAGGTTTCTCGGCTGGTGATCATCAGGCATCTGGATTGGAGCCCCTTGAGCTTTAAGGAACTCCATGCAGATGGCCACTGCTCTGGCCACTTCCTCGGTGGAGGGTCCGGAGGGAGGAGTCTCCCGCGGATGTGACCTGGATTGCACGCTATGGCGCGGCGGGGAGTTCCTCGCACCTGAGCCACTCGGTCTCGGGGATGGCCCCGGCTGCCGAGTGTGGTGCGAGGTGTTCTCCTCCTGGAGGCTAGGACCTCTTGAGGCTTCCCTTTCCGGAGAAATGGGGGCCTCCGATTCGGAAGAGGCTTGCTCCGGGGAGGGATAAACCGGCTGGCGTTCCCTCACCGTAATCCGGCCTCCTCCCTTCTTAGCCTTCTTGGAACTCTTTCCACTCTTAGTCATGGCGACTGCCGGAGTGTTTGATGACTGACGCGAAATTTAGTAGCGTTCCCCACAGACGGCGCCAAATTGTTTCGGATGAAAACAATCGAATCTCGGAAGATCCTTTTATCTTGAGGGAACTTGGTCTCGGTCCGAACGACGCAGGAGCCGAGGGTTTCCTGCACAACAAATACACGTAAACTAGCCTCGGGGGGGACGCCGAGGAAGGCCCCTCCGATGCTTAAGTCAGTATATTAGAGAGAGAAAGCTGTGCAAGAGTTTAGTTGCTTGAGGCTTTATTGTCTTACCAAGAATTGACCAAATTGTTGGCTTTTATACCTTGGCTAATGAAGGAGGCGGATTGGGCCCGGAAGTCAGTTGGGCTGGGCCAAGCTGATTGGGCCGTTGACTGACCTTGACATGGCTTTGAGGATGTTGATTTTTGACTTTAGCACATTTGGAGAGTTGAACCTTAACCTTGGGCTTTTAATTGGATCATTCAGTGACCAGGCCCAATTGGACTAAATTGGACCCAAACATATGTTTTTTTTAATTACCAGGGATACCAGCATATTCTGTTAATAACAGACCAAGAACTTATTAATTTTTATTATTAATAACTTGATAACTACAAGCAAAATGATTAGCTCCCTTAATTCAGAATATCTGACGACCCATATAAAGTTCTTATACAATATTTATCAGTCACTTGATATATTCAATGTTATTAGTTTGCTTATAATTATCGATAAAGAATTATGTTTATAAAAAGTGAATTTCAAATCAATTAGATAGCACCTTAATTGTAACAATTAACAACGGAGTAGTTCAAAATCCCATATGAAATGGAAGTTATTAATAAAGAAAAATAAAATTGATGGAGCAACTACTCTTAAATGTTCCTTATACATGTACAACGTGTAGGATACACATTTATTATTCTTTTAAAAATAGTGACGGATTTTGAATCAAGTAATATTGAAAGCTAAATTTGAACCGGTTAAAGCTCTTGACATCTAATCATTGAAACATGACATTTTATATCAATATTTTATGGAATATATTCATTATGTCTAACATAGCTTTATAAAACCACAGGGGTCGAGCCCCTATGAGTCTTAATAAAGATCCTCCCCTACTTAGAAATATCTCTTATACCTTATTATGTGAGTAATAGTGTTGGATATACACTACATCGCGGTGTAACACTGTAGTGATAAATGATAAAAATTGACCATTTCTCCACTATCTTTATTTTCAGTAATTTCCTATGGTTAGTAGGTGGTTAAACTACCTGAGGTCAACAATCAAAGACCAAAACGAGAAGAGCACACTAATCTTTAATTCTATATGATTGGTAGGATTATGTATGTTTGTTTAGTTGATTGGTAGGATATTGTATATTGTTTGTTTAGTAGGTTGTGAGATGGTTTCTGTTTGTGTCAAAAAAAGAGATGGTTTTTGTTAGTTCCATTTACTTCAGTTCATTTATATAATTTTATTATTATTATTATTATTATTATTATTATTATTATTGTTAAAGGACCAACTCAACCAAAAGATTAAGCTGATGGTTGAGGCCCAGGAATATGTTTTATACTCTATCACGCCCCCTCACACGAGAGCCCGTTGGGCTAGAAGTGTGGATGCAGCATGGGCCCTCCACATACCCTGCGCTTAATATTCCACTTGAAAGTGGGGGATGGATGAGATTCGAACCCGTGACCTTTGTGTCACGCTGGCTCTGATACCATGTTAAAGGACCAACTCAACCAAAAGCTTAAGCTTATGGTTGAGGCCCAGGAATATGTTTTATACTCTATCAATTATTATTATTAGTATTACTATTAGTATTATTATAAAAATATCAAAAAACCTACAAAGTCAATTAATTTATAAGTGGGGAGCCGAGATACAATCTGGGCCCCACCCCTCTAGCTATAGTGAACCCGATCCTACTGAAGATGTGAGTAGTTGCACGAGCACCAATATCCAAAGTCTTAGCGAACGCCTGAATCTGCTTTAGCAACGCAATAGCATCCTTAGCACTACAAATCAATCGAGTTTAAGTTAATTAAGTTTTAAAATAGGACCTTAGTGGTTTAGCTTGCACTTTCTCCATTTTTTTTTATAACGCAACGTTTGGAATTTTACACTATTCACACACACTTATTTGTTGGAAAAAATTTAGTCATGTAGGATCTTCAGATTTGTTAATTGTCGCGAAATACACTTTTTATAGTATCAATTTTTCATAATTTCTACTACAATACAACTTAGAATATTTAAGTTTAGAATGTACATGGGTAAGTGTGAAATCTCCACCATTATGAATTTACGATTAAAAAACAATGAAGTATGTAGTATATTGTAAACCTTATTTATTTAATTATGCAAATTTCAAAGATGTCAATTTTACAAAATATTTAAGGGACATACATCATCCATACACGTATATATTACACCTATAAATATGTTGTATTAGAGAAGATCTAAATGTACATACATATATATATCCAAGTGAAGGTAGAGCTCAAAATACTTTGTCTCTTGCCAAGGAATCAAATCCAAATAAAGTTAATTAGAACTTTGAAGGAATTCCACCAAATTACTCTACATAATTATTATTCGAATCGAAATAATGTCTTCCATTTGCCCTACTTATTTAGGATGGGAATATCCCATAGAATTAGGTACAAACCAAGGTTTTAATAATGTTGACTTAGATGCTGTATTTCTTCTTAATTTTTCATCTTCTCAATCTCAAGATTACCAATTTCAAGTGTATGATCATGTTAAGCGTAGCGAATTGCCACAAGATACAAGCTCAACCGATCATCAATTTGATATTAACCCTGTGTTATCTAAGAAACTTAGTCATAATGCAAGCGAACGCGTTCGAAGAAAGAAGATTAGCAACTTGTATTCATCTCTACGTGCTTTACTTCCTTCTTCTGATCATAAGGTACGTAATAATTACTATTAGTCTCTTATAATCTTAATTTTTGGTCTTAAATCTTTATTTTTTCACGATTTGTATTAATTCGTCATTTAATTGCTAATTACTAATTATCCATTTTTTTTTTTATTACAGAAGAAATTAAGTATTCCAGGGACAGTTGTACGTGTGGTTGAGTACATACCCGAATTACAAAAAGAAGTGGAGAAATTAATTTGTAAAAAGGAAGAACTTTTATCAAAAATATCAGCAATTCAAGGAAATGCATTGGAAAATAATGTTCAAGAGGAAAAACCCATGAAAAATTGTATGATTAAGGATACAATTTCGTGTTCGATTTCTTCGAATAAATTGGGCGATAAAGAAATGGTTATCCAAATTTCAGCATTTGAGAGAATATCATTATATGAAGTGCTTGATTTGCTTGAGAAGAAGGGTTATCTTGTTATTGATATTTCTTCTTTTCATTCTTTTGGAGGAAGGACTTTTTACAATATTCATTTATGGGTAAGTGTTCGTTGCATCGATCGTTCTCAATAATTCTATATTATTATTTTGATTTGACGTACTTTTCTTCATGCTACATTGTCACTCTTTCTTGGTACTCCGTAATAATTTGATTGTAAAATATTTGACTTTACCGCGTAAGATTTTGTGTCGTGTATATGTCAAAATGATTAATTGGTTAAATTTAAACTTCGTATATTACAAACTAATGATTTATCGAATAAAAGAATCAACTTTATTTCATTGGTTTCGGGTCTCATCTTAAAACTAGAACACCTAATACAAGCATGTAGGATATCAATTATTGTAATAATATAAAACAAGCGTCCTTTTCAAGAAGTTGATAATTCTCTAATCACAATTTTTATTTCTACGTAACTGCTATAATTATATATATAGATAGATAGATATTTTTTTTGTGTACAAGCTCTAAGATTTATACATGTTTATGTAACAGATGGGAGGAAACTATACCGCAAAGTTCGAAAATTTAAATGAAGTGTTGATGTCCTTGCTTAAGGAGCAAAAGCATATGCAAGCGTATTATTAGTGTATGCAACAAAGGAACGGTCTTAAAATCCAATTTGGTCCTTTAAACATCTAGCTATTTGTACATTATTGTCGATCACTATCAAAATCATTTTGCCAGAGTTTTGATAGATTTAATCTTGATCATGCGTTAATACATATACTTCGTATAATCATATATGTTCATACACATATCTACGTATAGTTATTATCTTAAATCGTTGTTGTATAAGATTACGTCACACTATTATTTGGTAAGTACGTTAAGACTATCATTGTAAATACGTATCGTATCACAAATTTTAAAGAGAACTAGAGAGAAAATCATCATTATAGGAAGGATATGCAATACTTCAATGAAATGAAATGATTTAAATAAAAGTGTTCTAAATCTAAACTAGCACAAGTTATCAAAAATTATGTACGTAAATGGTTATATAGTTAAAATTTGATCAAAATGGTAACAATTCATCATTTCACTTAATGCACACAGCCTTAATTTCATTTGTATAAATGCCAATTATTGTTATCAATAAAAGTGAATATACTATAAAAACAAGTGTTTTTTTTAACAGAATTTTTAATTTTGTCATCACTCGAATTGAGAAAATCTATAGACAAAGTAGTCTTACAAAGATACTAAAAAATCTTTCTTAGATCCAACCACTAATTTCTAAACTAATTAAATTTTGTTCACTTTCTTAACTACGTTACTAAAGTTATAAAAGTATACAATTAGGGAACATTTACAAAAAATATTACGTGTACTATTATGAAATAATAGAGGGGGAAAATAGCCTAATTATAATTTACAAACCAAAGATTTTGTATATATTAATGTAGAAAACAACACATAATGTACAACACTACAACCTATACGCATTTATATATAGCATTGGAACTAATAAGTAACATGTTGTGCGTTAAGTAAAAGAATAAAAGATCATTGTACATACATGCTAGAATATGCCTCGAGTTGGTTAGCCCTTTTCGAAAAACGAACTATGATAGAGTCCGCTTTGAGAGTATTGTATAAACTCCAAACCCTTGGAGTTTAACCTAGCAATCACGACTATTTTGTATATTAAACTTTCTTGAAAACCAATAAATACTAATCTCTAACTTGTCTATATGATTCTATGGACGTAGCTAACTCATTGTTAGTGAACCGTGTAAAATCAATGTTCTTGTTTGTTGATTTCTTATCACGTACAGATAGAAAAGAGTCGAGAACTACATGGGGCAAATTACTTGATCGATGTGCATGATTTGATGTGGTGTGTTATAAACGCTACCTTGAAAGCAAAATTCACCATGTCAATGGTGTAATCAAATATGGTGCTATCCTTAAATTATTACAAGTCAAGCCTACCCTCAAATTATTACATGTCAACCCTACAAGTGGTGCATGCACTCATAATAATATGATTTTGGAACTTACAATTTGAATTGTATATCAGGGTCATGCTATGCCTTGTACTTACTGAAAAAAAAAAAAAAAAAAACAGCGTTTATTTGTTGGGATTCAAATATTAGAGCATAGGTTTTTTCAATTCTAACTAGTATTTATTTTTGCAAATTTTAGAGTAAAAATGCAATTTAATTTAAGGTTTGAAAAAAAAATCATTGTAGAGAAAAAAATATCATTCTTGAAATTGATAGCAAATTATGAATCTCAAAACAATTGTGCATATAGTGGAGTGCATTTTGTCTTTCTAATGAATCTTTTATATATAGGCGATATGGATACTATGGTAGAAATTAAAGCAAAGGCAGCCACATGTCAAATAGTTAGGTGTATGCCTATCATTATTTCCATTAAGAAACTAATCCTTTTTTTTTTATAATTATTCTCACAACTTGGAGGATTAGTAGTTTCTAAGGGTAGAAGAAGAGATAAAAAGTGAGAAAAAAAAATGAACTCATGGTATAAGAGGAGAGATAGAGAAAGCCATTAATAAGATTGAGCGATGTTGTAGATATTTATCAACTTCTTAGAAAGAAAAGCGTTGTGGTTATTGAAGAATGGATAAAGTATGAAATAGATACTTCCTCTATTACAAAAAAATATTATCTCCGTTTTTATTTAGTTGACATGTTTTAACTTTAGTACTATTCACACACCTCTCTTTGACCGTGTTTTGTACTTTATACGTAATGAAAAATATAGTCATGTGGGTTCTTGTTAGATTTTTCACGTTATATACTTTCAAAATATCAACTTTTTATAATTTTTGTTTATCGATAATTAAAGATATTAATGATTGAATAAGTGCATTGGTAAACGTGATTAAAGAATCATATCAACTAAAAAGAAACGGAGGAAGTATACTGAAACATTTCCCTTTAAAGGCCAAACTTCAAATTTGATCTATACTTCAATACTTCATAAAGAAGATATATTCAAGTGTGATCTTGTTAGAATCATAATGCATTTTCAAATTATTATCCGTAGCTTTATAATTTTCAACAATGCAAATTAGATATCCATGATCAAACCAGTGTATTGAGATCATGTAACAGAAAACAGTGCAATTATTCAGTAATGGAAGAAGTATATCCTTGGCTAATCTATAATTAGGATTATTTTTTTTTTAAAAAACTTTTTTTTTCAATCTATAAATAATCTAACAAGGAGTAATGGAATATCAAGTTTTGGCCCAATGCATAGGTGTAGAAAGTAGCGCATGATGTGGTCTAATAGGAAACTAAGAAGCCCCATTTTCATTTTTTTATTGCGATACACTACAATGGCAAAAAGCCCAATTGTCATATGTACTTTGAATCAGTAAACTACCTATAATAAACCCATTTAACCCTTGTAGCGTATAATCTTACAAATATCAAAATACTACCTCCGTCACACATTAGTTGTAGACTTGTAACTTTTGGGGTATTAGTTGAGAGACAAAAATATTCCAAAATTATAACTAATATGTAGCGGAGGTAGTACTTTCTTCGGGGTTTTTTTTTAAAATTTTTTTTTTATTATAATTATAATTAATTGAAATTTGCTTCCTTTTTTTTTCCTTCTGTTTGAAGAAATTGAAATTAGTGGAATAGTGGCGGCGGATCTATGAAGGGGCCTGGGTGGCACCGGCCCCCCCAAATTTTTTATTTTTTATTTTTTTGTTTAAGTAAATATATAAATTTATAAGTTAAATACAATTTTTATGCAATAAATAACATCAAATTAGCTTTATCATAGTGGTAATGTATTGAGTTTGGACTAAAAGTCTTAGGTTCAAGCCCTTATACAAGCATTTTATTTATATTTTTTATTTAGTGCCCCTCCACACTAAATATTCTACATCCGCCATAGTGCAAATTGAAATTTGCAAATTGCAATAGTAAGGTATGCAAATTATTTCGGAAAATTATAGACTTAATTAAGGGGCCGTTTGGCTGGGGGTAATAAATAAAGGGAAAGGGAATGAACATGCTCCATTCCCTTTGTTGTTGTTTGTTTGCCACTATCAATCATACCCTTTACCCTCTTTCATTATTGACTTTACCCATTTTTGCTCTAACATGATTCCCCACCCCCCCCTAGACTTTTCCATTCCCTTTCCTTAGCCACCAAACCCACCACCATACCCACCCACCTAGCAACCTTCTACAACACAACCACCACCCAGCCACCTCGCCACCCTTCCCCCATCCACCGTCGCCCCTCCCCCAGCCATCTCGCTGCCCCTCCCTTTCCCCCGAAAACATATCCCCTCCCCGAAAACATATCCCCTCCCCGAAAACACTTCCCCCCCTACCCAAGAAAAACCCTTAAAAAACCCTCCCCCTCCCCTTAAAACCGTCGGTCGTCCCTCCCTCCACCCTCGAAACCCTAGCGGCTAGGGTTTTGAGGGTGGGGGGAGGGACGGCCGACGGTTTTAAGGGGAGGGGAGGGTTTTTCTTGGGTGGGGGAAATTTTCCGGGTAAATCAATGACGGTGAGGGTCGGAGGAGGGAGGGTGAGGGGCGACGAGGGGCGGAAGAGGGAGGGTGAGGGGCGGCGAGGTGGTGGTTGGGTTGTAAGGTGGCTGGAAAATGAAGAAATAGAGTGTTGCTATGGTGGATTTGGTGGTGCTATGGTGGAGGTGTTTCTCTTGTGTTTTTTGTAAAACAAACAACATGCTAAATTGAAAGGGATTCATTCCATTCTCTTTGATACTCTTTCTCCATTCCATTTCGATTCCACTGTGCGAACCAAACGGCCCCTAAGAGTTTTATGATAACTAGTCCAACTATTGGGGTTTTAGGGTATATTTATTTATTAGTGGAAGAGAAAAATAATTAGAAAAAAATGAAATAGTGCAAGGGTGCTCGAGAATGGTGGAGAAAAATATAATAAAAATATCATATTAAAACTTTTTTTTTTAATAATAAATCATATTAGAACCTTACGATACAAAAAGTGTAGCAATTAATAAAAAAATGAACAAAAAGGAAGATGATGCAACACATGCCATCCAAGGGTTCCTTTTAAAGCACAAAAGGACCCCAAAATTATTCTCCTAAGATTAAATTAGAACCCACAATGACTATAAGCTAGCCGTATCTTGAAATAAAAACATCATACGACAAAAAACTGAACACAGGGAGAACATCAGGAAGAAGACCTAAAGCGTGGACATGAACACCCCTACATATCTTGCGCGGATAAGCAAGCTTAGAGCAATCTTGGACGTATAATTCATTATAAAACGACCATAACTTTCTCGTTCTAGCTATATCATTAATTGACATATCACCGGTTGTAAAGCTATCAAAATAAAGGGAGAAGTAATGATAGGGCATAGGTAGGCCTCATGTATTTTGTTATAAATAGGATGACAAAGTAGTAAATAAGTTCTAGGGGGAAAAAAAAAACTCTATAATAAAAGGCTTTATAAATATACTCTTTGTATCAATCAATAATAGACCTAATGAGTCAATACAACTAAATGGGTTTAAATGTTGTTTATATCATCCGCAAATTTTTGGCTGAGGTCGCGTTCAGCCAGCGTTGCTGAGGTTGCTGAGGTTACGCCCAGCAAATGAACATCTATTAGTAAAAAAATGAACATTTACTTGAAAAAAATTGAACATTTATTTTTGAACATCTTCTTCTACGTCTTCGTCGTCTTCTCCGCCACTACTTCTTCCACCTTAGCACCAGAATCTTCCTCCACCACACTCTTCACCTCTTCCGTATATACTATCACTATCAACAAACTTAAATAATCCTCCATTAACAGCACCATTCTCACTCCCCTTCACTCCACCATTACCACTCAAGTAATTCTCAATCAAACCATTTCCATTACTATTTCCGTTCAATTTCAATCAAACCATTTCCATTACTATTGCGAAATGTACGTATGCTGAGTAAACGAACTAAGCTCGAATATAGAATGAGAAGTCAAGGAGAGAGAAAGCGCCATTAATTTACAGTAGAAAGAGAAAGTGAAGGTTCTGGAATGAATTGAAGCTTCAATGTCTATTTTCATGGAGTTTGATGAGAGAGAAAGAGAAGTAGAGGTTGAGAGCAGAGTTTTGCAGAGAGAAAAAGAATGAAGCACCATTACCACTAGAGATTTGAGTGGTAAAACCAACATTTTATACAATTGAACAAACACACAAAAATTGTATTAATTAAAAAAATAAAATGAACATTTATTTTTATAAGAATGAACATCATACGACATGAAAATAAACATTTATTTTATAAGAATGAATATCATACTACATTAAAATGAACACTTGAATATTGAAATACAAAATCATTGTAAAATATATTTCCTTAAAAAATGTTCATTTTTGCTATATTAAATGTTCAATTTTGACGGCAACCTCAGCTAGTGTGGCTGAAGTCGAACTTAGCCATTAACCCTAGCTACTGTACATCATCATCAATTCATCACCTTCGTGACCCCTTATACAACCAGCCAATTACTGTATTAGAATTTAACATAATAATGTGTCAAAAAATTAACATATGTCCAACTGTCCAACCGTCCAAGTACCAAGAATATACTAGTAATGATTAGCATTCATTTGTTTTTCTTTTTTCTACTATTAGAAACTATAAAGAATATTAAAAAATACAAATTATAATAATTTGTCAACTATGTATTCTTTCAGGTAAATCTTGTAACAAAATCTTGTCCACGTTATATTATGTTTCTATTAATAACAAGTAGTAGGTTTCCAGGTTATATATATATTAATTGAAAAAGAAATATATTTCAACGGTTTTTTTTATAAATACGTTTCATTTATAATAGGGCTAACAACAAAGTTGATAGCTACTAGGAACCTAGAACGCCACCATAGGGACTATGGAGTAAAGAGGTCTAACCATCTAGGCATGTGCCCTACCTTGCATGCCACAGTCATCTCCTTAATTTAAATTAGAGGATTAATTGATTACTTTATTAGAGGTTTAATTATTTGTTTAGCCTTTCAAAGGGATTACTTAAAATTGTACTTTAGTAATAAGGAGCGGTACCTAACTTATATGCACCCTCCTTAGCACCAAATGAAATAATTTTTTGAATTTTTTAGATTATTATTGATGCCAAAAAGAATCTTCCACATTATGAATTTTGGATGTTATTTTACAAAACAACATAAATTTATATGTACAACGAAAAAGAAAAAAGTTAATATCATTAGTCATTTGATAACACTCATGCAAAGCACAAGCAATAACCTTTTTTCACATTGAAATTAACCTTAATTCAGATGTAACAATAATTTATTTCTTTAATTCAGACATAAACAATCTATTACAACAAGTTAAACCATCGAGTAGGAAAATAAGATGATCAAAGCTTAACAGCACAATTGAGTCACTTTCACAAACGACTCGGTATCCTTAAGTCTGGATACCTTTGATCCCCTTTCTAAGTTATTGATGAAATATGAAAGTTCAATTTTTGGAATGATAAATTAAAAGTTCGAATTTCCCCAAAAATAATCTAAGTTAAACACCATAAAAATTCTCATTTTTTTTTCTCTTTTTGTTGACAGGAATAAAATCTCATTATGCTATAAAGATTAAAGAACATCTTAAGGCCAAAGAAAATTATGTTTAAATAAGATTAAAATTTCTTTTAATATTTGGAGCTATTCTTTCTATACTCACTTCTCCATTAAGCGTTGACAATGACATGCACTTGTATTTTATATTATAGTCTACGCTTAAACGATAAGGACATATCTTTAAGATGTTATCTTAATTAAAGTTGTTAGAGCATTAATTAATTCACGAGCCATTATAAGAAATACACGAGCCCGTCACACTTAGTAAAGCATATTATAAAATTTAATTCTTGATTTCTTTCTAATTTAATCCAAATGATAATAAACGAACACAATTATGCACGGGCCAATCAGAAAAAAATTTGAGTCGACCCACTTTAGACCTACATGTCTTGATTAATTACATTTAAATATATGACAATAATGACATAGAGCTAAAAAAACAAGTACTTATATATATAGTCGAACTTAAATAAAATTAGCAAATACAGTTATACAATACATAGGCTTCTTAATAAAGAAATTAAACCAAAGAAAAATCTTTCATAAAATTATAATTCTTCAAGAAAATGTTGGCAATGTCTCCTTTATGCCCTACTAATTTAGGATGGGAGTATCCCTTAGATTTAGACACAAACCAAGCTTTATTTGATAACTTAGATTTCGATTTTGATACCATGTTTCTTGCTAATATTTCATCTTCCCAAGCTCAAGATTGTGAAGTTAATCATCAAGTGTCGAGTGATGATCATGGTAAGCGTAGCGAATCGCCACAAGGTACAAGCTCAACAGATCAACTTGATAATAATCCCTTGTTATCCAAGAAGCTTAATCATAATGCAAGTGAGCGAGATCGAAGAAAGAAGATTAATAACATGTATTCTTCTCTACGTGCTTCGCTTCCTGGAATTGATCAAAGGGTACGCTATTACTCCCTCTGTTACTTTTTATTTGTTACATTTTGACTTTTACGGTCTTCAATAATGCACATTTTGACCATAACACATACAATATATGTGATTAAATATTATAAAAAGTTGATAATACAATTTAATATTAAAATGAATGCTTGTTTTAATTTAATATTTAATAATGTTATTCATGTCTACTTAAACTAAAATAAAATACTTGTTATCTTCATTAGAAGGCTAACAATGGTATCATTTCAAGCATTAACTAATTAATTACTTGTTTTGTTCTAATTTGTTACAGAAAAAGCTAAGCATACCATCAATTACTTGTTTTGTTCTAATTTGTTACAGAAAAAGCTAAGCATACCATCAACAATTGCCCGGGCGCTTGAGTATATACCTCAATTACAAAAGCAAATTGAAGATTTAATCCATAAGAAGGAAGTGTTTACATCTAAAATGTCCATTATGCTAGGAAACTCAGGGGAGTTTGTCCTTGAACAAGACCAAAAAAATTGCATAATTAAGGAGACAACGAAATCGTGTTCGATTTCTGCTAATAAGCTTGGAGATAAAGAAATGGTGATCCAAATATCAACATTTGAGAGAGTATCTATATCTGAAGTTCTACTCCATCTTGAGAAGAATGGTTGTATTGTCATTGATGTTTCTTCTTTTCAATCTTTTGGAGGGACAACTTTCTACAGCATACATTTGTGGGTAAGTACCTCAAAGTTGCAACTAAAAAAAATCGGAGGTAGTATAAGTTAACATTATGAAATTTCATATTAATTCCGTAGTATATATTTTAAATAACTTAGTTTGATATTGCCTCCATTTCATAATAATAAACATACCTAAGCTAGACTTTTTCACTATTTATACATTGACCTTGACCCCTTTTTTTTTTCCTCTCTCTATTTTATTATATAAAAAATTTATTATGTAAAAAATTTATTATATAAAAAATAGATAATATTGATAAAAAGTTACATAAAATTTGTATTAATTTTAATTTTATTCATTTGTAATTAAAGTCAAACTAGTGCATTGACACAGTATAAATGTCAAGTTTGACTGTGTCAATTATTATGAAACAAAGGAATAATAATTACTTTACCTACATTACTAAGCTACTAAGAAGCTATAGTCATACATTTATTTAAATTTTTTATACACATTTTTTTTATTATTAAAGTGAATTAATCTACAAAGTATTTATTTACCGAGTTCTAAAGTTTAATTAAGTTTATGTTCATGTAACAGATGGAAGGAAGCAATGTTGTAAGCTTTGAAAAAATGAATGTAGAGCTGTCATCCCTGCTACAAATGAAGCAAATGCAGATGGAAGTACCTATAAGTAGTTCCTTATATGAAGTATATATATAGTGAACGGTCAACTCTTTTGTAAATTGTACTCACTCCTTCCCTGAAGTAGGAATCTAATTAAAGGATGGAGGGAGTAATAGAAAATTCAAATCCTTTAGAGCAATTATCTACTGGATACTAGTATTAAATTATAAAGTTGGCGAAATTAGAAATATAAAAACTCATTACTGTATTATCTATCCATTTACTATGATGTATCTCATCCTAGACAGTAATCCTTGCGGTATAGTGCATAGCAGGACGACCAATAATGCAAATTGTTCATGCGACACCTAAATCAACCTATGTACAACAAGCACATAAAAAAAAAAAAATCTATATACGAGGAATACAATACTCAATGACACTAATTTGTATCGAGGTAACTATGAGCACGTAACAAGGGAAGCTCTCGATGAACTATGTCCACTTGAGCTACTTCTTACTTCCTATTGGTTGCCCCCTATTCAGGCACACGCATATATAGTTTAGTTTACGACATTACATAATATGAGTTAGTCTCACATCTAAAGTTTTATTAAGTAAGTACATACACCTTTCATGCCTCATATTATTTGGCCTAAACTAAGTGAAGCCTTGACCTTATCCAATAAACTTATCTTTTGCCCTAAGATTTTACACTAGTGTACACTTATATTTTTTTTTTTTTGAATAGCTACTGTACACTTATATAGTTATATGTTATACAATATATAACTTATACGTAGTATATATGATGTTGTTAGCTATAAAACCTTGTCCTATCTAAATTAGGTTTCCATCAAGAAAAATTTACACAAAATAGATATCCCACGTTATTGCACAAATACAAACTATGAAGAATGAAGTAGTAGTTTTTATTTTTATTTTTATATTTATATTTATTTTTATTTAGTTTAGGTTTAATTTGTTCATTTGGTGAATGATGAGGAGGTTTTAAAATTTATGGAGGCACGTGCCAGTCTAGTCCTTTCTTACTGCAAGGCACGAGCTCTTACAGTTTCATTAAATTAGTGGATTTAATTACAGTAATTTCTTCCATTGTTTTTGGATTTGAAGTTGTAACCTACACTGTATGTGTTCTCTACAACAACAATGAAAGAATATGTTAAGGTCATAGGTTTCATAGAGAATCTTCTACATCTGTACTGCTGTACATTGTTTGACTTGCTATGTTGACATAGTAAATGCATAAATAATTTTCATATAAAATTTGAAAATATATATGTTGACATAATGAGTCCATCAATAATTTTCATATTGAAAATTTTACAATACTTTTGCATAATTTCATATACTATTTTGACCAATATTTGTGCTCTATGTTGACTATGTATAACAATAAACCCCTTAAACATCGTTATGTTAGTAGTAGTTGTTAGAGTCGTCCTCATTGTATGATATTCAATTTTTTTTTTTTTTTTATTAATTTTACATATTTATCATTAAGGGTCTGTTCACAATTATTGAACTAAGCTAAAGTGAACTGAACTGATTGAAGCTGAACTAAACTGAACTAACTGAAATGCATATTTTATGAGAGAAGGAAATTAGAAGCTGAACTAAACTGAACTGAAATTAAGCTGAAGTGAACATGCCCTAAATATATGAATAGTTAGAGTTTGACATTGACAAATATGTCAATCAAATTAGTAGACACATTAATAAAAGAGAGTATAATTTGAATTTGAATTTGATTTGATCAAAAACACTTTAACACATACATCATATATATTTCTTGCAGTACATAATGATCAATAGATAATAATCCTCATTATTGTAGCAACAAATTCGAAGAAAATAATCAAGGTGACCCTAGAGATCATAATTAGAATGTGGGTCATTATATGTTCATTATCTTTTGGGTAGGAAAGAAAAATGGTGATTAGAAAGAACCTTTTTATTCTTTTGGTCAAAATTTAATCAGACAACCATAGCCTACATATCAAACACGACCATGATAGCTAGTCGTCGAAGAGGGCTAACTGATTCAAGGGATATTCTAACAAATTAATGAACTACACTGTAAAGGATTATGTATATACCAAAGAAACTAGATCGATCACCATGAGTTACATGCTCTCAAACAAACTAATAGTCAATTTGATGTGTTTCTTAGATTAGATTCAGTCAAGTGAGGTGAATTAGAAGCAATATATATAAGAAGACGAAACATTGTCACAAAGAAGTTTAACTGGTTGTCGAATATTTATTCCGTTATTCGTGACGTTATGCTAATTGATTAAATTATTTCCACTAATTGGTTTGTCATGGTTTGTCTTACTTCATTTAAATTATACATTTATACTTTGCATTACCTTTGTTAGGTCTCCAAAGTGACGTGTACACGTATTAATGTATTTACAATTTCATTAGTATTTTCGTCTTAAAAAAAAATAAAAAAATAAAATAAAATTGCAAGTATACTTTATTTCACATAAAATATGAAATATTATACGTAGTATGACCTAATTTAAATTAGCAAGGATCCAAAGTATGTGCTATAACACCTAAGATGTTACTATGTATTAGAATATTAATTCACGAGCCTTCTTAAGACATACACGAGCCTAACACACACAAAATTGATTATTATAAGTTTAATCTAGTTTTTATCTCATAATTAATCCTTCTTTAAATTAATAAATGCTTGTTTCCACGAGCCTACCTTTAGATTCTTGTATTATTTTACCATCTAGTCATCACCTTCTTGTGTATTATTATTCGTTAATTAATTTGTACCGAGTAGTAAAAAATTATATACACTTTATAATTGTCATATAAATTGAGCTAAATTTACTTTGTTTTATACTTACAAGATTCTTATTTCCTTTATTTAGTAAATTAATCCCACCTAAGAAAATATGTTAGCAATGTCTTCTTTATTATGTCCTAATACTAATTTAGGGTGGGAGTATCCCTTAGGATTAGATCCAAGACAACCTTTAGATAACCTCGATTTCGATTCGATATTTCTTGCTAATATATCATCAACATCACAAACTCGAGATTACGAAGATAATCAAATGTCTAGTGATCAAGCTAAACGAAGTGAATCACCACAAGGTACAAGTTCAACAGATCAATTTGGTAAGAATCCCTCGATTTCGAAGAAGCTTAATCATAATGCAAGTGAAAGAGATAGAAGAAAGAAGATCAATAACATGTATTCTTCTTTACGTTCTTTGCTTCCTACAAATGATCAAAGGGTATGTACTTTCTTATTTTCCATATTATTAATTACTCTCGTATTTTATGTACATGCACAGTTGTACTCCGAGGTTGGAAGGAAAAATCTTTTAATATTTATTTTTTAATTTTTTGTTGTTTAATTTAATTTTCTTGATTAAATTGATTTTACTTGCCTTCCTCATAAGAAATCGAATTGATTAAAAAATATGAATTTTAAAAGTTTATTTACTTGTACATCATTTAATATTCTATATTTATAAATTAGATGAAATTAAAACTGACAAATTAAAGCATATACCAATTTTGATTTCAACCATCAGCATAACCTTTTGGTTTAATTGGGTTAAAATGTCTTCACGGCCTATAAGAAAAAAATTATTCCCAAGGATTAATTTGTTCACTATATATATAATGTGCTTTTCTAAAGTTGAGATGTTGTCACATTATTGAAAAAAAAAATAGTGTTATAGTGACCTTTTTCAAATATGCAAATAATAAATATTCAAATTCGTTGCAGAAAAAATTAAGCATTCCAGCAACAGTTGAACGAGTGCTAGGTTATATACCTCAACTACAAAAAGAAGTGGAGGATCTAGTTCATAAAAAGGAAGATCTTCTATCAAAAACTTCAATATTACAAGGAAATGCTAGGAAAATTGTTCAAGAGGAAAATCCAAACAAATGCATAATTAACAAGACGACGTCATGTTCGATTTCATCAAATAAATTGGGTGATAAAGAATTGGTGATTCAAATATCAGCATTTGAGAGAATATCAATCTCTGAAGTGCTTTTGATGCTAGAGGAGAATGGTTATCTTGTTCTTGATGTATCTTCTTTTCAATCCTTTGGAGGAACGACTTTTTACAATATACATTTGTGGGTAAGTTACAATTTTGTCCCTTTTTCTCGCTATATTGTAAATTTTGTTTTAGTAGGATTGAGTCTTATACACTGTGAACTTATAAACATAGTCACATCAGTGGCGAAATTAGGATTTTACTTTGAAAATGACCAAGTTTATGTTTCTGAATAATTTATATGAGATTTGAATAGAAAATCATCGAGCACAGTTTTAAAAGTTACCACATTATTCCTCGGAAAAAAAAAACAGTGGGGACGGCTCACCTGTCTGATCTATTCCCTAAATTTCTATCTTATAATTAAGATTAATATTATAAGTACTCTGTAATAGAAATTATTTTTTTTTTCAAATAATTAATATACCACATATATTATTTCTATAAGGGAACAAATATTTTGTGTTTGATTTATAATAAAGGCATAATCTATGCAATTCTTAGATAATTCAATATTTTATGAAAGTGTATGAGAAAATGTTCCTGGTATTGTACTCCGTACGAGTATAGAGGTTGAGGGATGCTTTTCTTCTATTTTTTGGTCCCATGTAAAGCGTGAGGGTAATTTCGTTGCCCATCACCTAGCTAGGTTAGTGCCAGTTGGTCGTGAACAATTGTGGGAAAACTTTGTTCTGGATGAAGTTTCTCCGTATGTATTTTTGGATAATCTTTCATGAATTAATGAATTAACCGTTTTCTTAAAAAAGGGGGGGTGGGGGTTTTGAGGGATGCTTTTATTAAACTTTTCACATTTTACAAAAGTGGCTAAGGGAATTGGAATAAATGTAGTGATGTAACATAACATTATCTTAATTAGAATATTCTTAGCCAAATTTAAAATGTTAGTACTCTTTGTTGCATTACCCCTATAGCCATGTGTGTGTAACAATATATATATATATATATGGATTTTTTTGTGAAAAATTACCTTTTATATACAACTTTTTGTGAAAAACGTAACTATCTTTTAAAAAAAATGTTGTAAATAACTACCTCATTTTAAAAAATGTTGTAAGGGACTACCACTTTCCGGAATCTGGCCGTTCACTCACTTTTCCGGCGTTGACCACCCACATGCCGGTCACATGACCTTAAATTTTTTTTTTCTTTTTTTCTATGAATGCACCACCAGCATTGTCCTCATTTTCACCACCGCAACACCTCAACCCACCTCAAAACTCCATTACAACCACTCTCACGCATCCAAAACCAACCCAACCCCACTTGAAAGTTGAAACTGCCTCCATCCCGTCGAATCCAACACAAGCCCTCATCCTCTCCGCAGTTTCGTGACCCTCGAAGAGCAACATCAATAACTTCCTCAATTGAGAAAAGGAAGGGAAGGGTTCTGATTTTCAAGGGGGTTTTTGTTGAAGCTCGATCTTCGAATTGAATCGCATAGCCAACTTCTTCCCCAAGTTGGACCCCCATCTCTTGGGCGACGTGGCGTGCGATGGAGACGGCGGCCAATTTGTACCAGAATTAGCGAAACCATGTCATAAGAGGATTTGGGAAAGTTGGGTACTTTTGCCAGAACTAGTTTCTAATCTCCGATTAAGACAATGACGAGTTTGTTCTTGAATGTTTCAACAATTTTGCCATCGAATTGAAGAATTGGGAGCTTGTCCATTGGATTGGAGTTGCGGTAAGGCGGAAATGGTGGTTGTGCCGCCGTTAGATGGAGTATTTGGGCGGGACTGAGATGTTCTTACTGCCTAAATTGGACAAGGGAAGGGGAGGTGACGGCAAAGGGGTAGGGGTACGGTGGTCAAAAACTAGAAAAGGGAGGAGGAAGAGAGGATGGGGTGGTCAAAAAAGGGAAAAGGCCACTACGTGGTGTAGTCAATGCCGGAAAAATGAGTCAGCGGTCTGACTCCGGCAAGTGGTAGTCCCTTACAACATTTTTTAAAAAAGGGGTAGTCATTTACAACAATTTTTTTAAAAGGTAGTTTTTCACAAAAAGTTGTATATAAAAGGTAGTTTTTCACAAAAAATCATGTATATAAATATATATAAATATATATATATATATATAAAGTAATTTAATTTTAAAGTAATTTAATTTTGTTAATTATACTTCCATGAGCTTTATGTTAATTGTGTATTTGTGTGTGTGTAACAGATACAAGGAAACTGCAACATAAACTTCGAAAAGTTGAATGAAGCATTGATGTTCCAGCTTCAAAAGCAACAAATAATGCATATGCATGTATATTCCTAACAATATTGAAGAACTGCCTTATTTTTAGTTTTGTTTAGATATCGATCTAACCTTTTGTGATTGATAAATTTTTGATACATGATTCTAATCCTGATCACACATTATACATTAACATTGGAATTTTGGAAATTGTTGACTAAAACTGATTTACGATATCAAAGATATCCAATCGAGAATAACACATTATATAATATGTATTTCAGATGAGAAACTATAAAACTCGAAATTTATTTAAAGGATAGAGAGTGAGGATCTTTAGAAGCCTAAAAAGTCACAAATAATTTTACTTGTTGATAGGCCGTCATCGAGTCTACCAAAGATAAAAACCTAACTTGGTCTCTCTAATGGGTAGAAAAGGCAAGTAAGGGTCGATCCCACAAGGACTAAGGGGAGCACTAACAAGTATCGATTTGTGATAAGCTAAGTCAAGTCTTTTTGGGTTTTGAATTATAAAGAAAAACTACAAACATTAATAAAAAGGATCTTGGGAAGGTATCCACCAATTAAGTCATTCACAAACTACAATTTAACATACAAAACATAGCAATTTGGGGATAAATTAGGGGAAGTCATCTAAGGCACCCAACTACTCTCTCAAGCTAGAGGGATTACTTGAATCATGAATACAACCTACTCTCGTGGTTACAAAGCATGAAGCAAGTGTTAAAGCATAATCACGATGACATAAACATTCCCTTGACTGGAATTCCTATTCTCATGGCATTTCAAGTCAATTAAGCATAAGGGAGCTAACTCAAGTTCATCTCTCGATCCTTCGTTGAGAAAGCTTAGATAAATAGTTCTAGCAATGACCACTTACAAGAACTAACAATGAAACCACTTAAGCTCAACTAATTAACATCCCACATTAGCTAAATTAACACATGCAAACAAGTATTTGTGAATTCATTAATGGTTTCAACCATCCCAAGTAAAAGAACTACTCACAAATCATTATAAATTGCAAAACTAAAGTAGTTAACTACTAAGAACATGAATCCAAACACTAATTTAACATAAACAAGTAATAAAACTAGAAAAGATACAAAAATAAGTAATTAAGAAATAACATAATAGAGAGAGTAAGGAATTCTCATTGATAATGCAAGAAATAATCAAATCTTCAAGTCTCCTTCCTTCAATTCTTCATATTCCAAGCTATCAACAAGTTTTTCCCACTTTCTCTCTCTAGAAAATGAGAGTTTCTCTCTCTAAAAACCTAACCTAAGCTAAAAATACACTACCAAGATCTTCCCCTTACAAATGAAACCAAAGAGGTATTATATAACCCCCAAGTAAAAGGACGGAGAACACGAGGAAACGACCCGTCTACAGGTCGGCACGGGCGTGCCAAAGGTTGCACGGATGTGCAGACCTGTTAAAATACGACCAGTAGCTACTGCCTGACCTTGCAAGGACGTGCTTCATTTGGCATGGACGTGTAGTGACTTGCACGGACGTGCCACTTATTGGCAGGGACGTGCAGCTCTTTTCTGGCGAAACAACTTATTTTTAGAAGGTCATAACTACTTCTTTACTCGTCGGAATAAGGCATGTGACTAGTCGTTGGAAAGACCTTGAGATGAACTTTAATATCCAATTTGAATCACTTCAAAATGTTGAGTGGAACAAAATTTATGGTCAGTTTAAGTTGACCTTAGTGCAAAAATCCTTCCAAAACTTTCCAAAAGCTTTTCATTTCTCTTTAAGGCACTCATCCTTCTTCCTTAATTGCTCTATCAACCAAGCTTTCCCTTCTCCTTGTTCACTCATGCTTGATCACGTCCATATATAGTGCTAAAAATAGCTACATTACATTAAAAACACAAACAACCCGTGAAGCATGGATGGTACAAAATTTGTATAAAAATAGGATAAATAATGAACTTTGATGTCGAATAATCACGAAAACAAGGTTCAAAAGTACCCTAAAATCATACCAAATAACAAGTTATCACTTGCACGTAGAAATTTGAAGCTATTAATTATATCTATGACGACGCTTATCTGATTTACAATATTTCTTCCATTATCATAAACCGTATTGGGCTTTATCTACATTTAACTCCTCAATACTCACATAGTACGACACTTTAAACAATGCAAGCTATGGATCAAAATCTATGCATTGAACTAATAGCCTAAAACTCTTCTATAATATATGCTTTAACTATGATGATATTATGCTAATAAACCCCATTAGCTTGATATTGGATCCGCCCTTGCCTTACCACCTCTAATATAGAGAAGTAACGTAAAGCATAAGGTTTTCTCGTGACAAATTTGTATTAGTTATAACTTGTGATGGAATAAGGAGAAGTAAATAAACAAAGTTATCCGATCTTTTCAATTTTAATCCAAATTAAAACTCATATAAATAGATTTTAATTTCAATTTACAACTGATGTCAAGTTAATAGCTATGATTTTATAAAAGGTTGAAGTGATAAAAAAGTTTAGGTGATAAAAAGATAAAAAGAATATATTTTAGGTTGATCAAGTTTTTACAATATTAAAACACTTATCATTTTCTAGTTTGTTAGTGATCAATGATTCAAAATAGAGTATAACTTTAATAAAAAATAGTCAGACTTAAATATGAGAAAATCTAAAACATATTTTGAGATAAATTTAGAATACTTTTTGATTAAGTATCACAAAAATAAAGTATCAATTTGTTAGAGAGGAGATCAACACGTAAATGATTACTATAGTCTACCTTGCAAAAGAGGTGACACAACTTTCAAATTTATTATATCACGTAATTTGTTAATTTATAAATAATTAATTTTAATATAATTTATTTTATGTTGTTAAACCTCACTTATAAAAAAAATGTTAGATCTATTGTTAGTTTATTATTTTATGTCATTATAAAAAATCAATAGGTACTCGCGTAAGAAGAGATCCGTGGAGCAATGGAAGAATTTTAAGATTGGTTAATGCTGATAGAATGCATAGAAATATGACATAAATCAACAAACTGATTGGCCATAACAACGCCATTGCCAATTCTCATATTGAAGTCTTTGATGGTATTTGTCATGTCACGAACATCTGATATTTTACTTTGCCAAAAACACCAATTATTCTTGAAGGTAAACTCATAATTTTCACCAAACAAAAGACAGTAAAGTATGTACTTCTCCAGGACAATAATTCTCATTTTCACTCACAGTTAGAACCAACGATAAATCAGTTAGGCTTTAAAATCTCAAATTTAATACATAAACTATCATTTTCTCTTATTAAAGTCAATGCCAATTTTAAAATATGATATACAACTCATAAAATAAGAGGAAATTTGACTTGCACCTCTAATTTTTAGCTTATTATTAAGGTGGATGTAATAAGTAATTCAACAAAATTAGGTTTTGTTTAGGCCAAGTTTATTGTCCTAAGCCCAGTGACTTGAAATTACAAAAATACCCCTTCATGATCTAGCCCATCATTAACCATTGGAGAGTACAGATTTACCCCTAATTTGTCCAACTAAGTACAACTTTGCCGCCTAAAAGTATATCTATAAACTATAAATATTTCTCTAATCATTAATGAAGCTAACTTTTTTATGATTCTCTCTATACTTTTTTTCTCTCTAGAAAGTATTTTCGCTACTTAAGCATCTGAGGGGTTTTCCCGGGTCACAACCCCGGGAAAGCTAACCTTCTCTATTTTGCAGGTCGAGCTCTCGGACATCAAGGCGGAGCCCTCGGATCGACATACCTTTACTAGGCGGAGCTGAAGGACATTTGAACAGTCGGACATTAGCTCTAAGACATCTTTAAACCTCACTACCCTAAGACTCCTAGGAGCTGATGGCTCACATGAAAACACAGGCCCGCCCATACCTGGTACAAATTAATTCCACTTTGAAGGAGGTGCGGATGAGATTCGAACCCGTGACCTTTGTGTTACGCTGGATCCGATACTATGTTAGTGGATCAACTCAACTAAAAACTTAAGATGATGGTTGAGGCCCAGGAATATGTTTCATACTCTATCAATTTCCATACTGACATGTTGTAAATTAAGACAATTTGTATTGCTCTTCACTATTACGTGTTGCAAATTTAATGGACACGAACTTGTAATTAGTAGACAAACTTCCAGTATACAACTAAACATCAAACAATGTATATATAAATGATCAAGTAGCATTAAACATTTTATAGTTATTGCTATTAAACAAAAGACATTATCACATTAACAACTTGAATACAAATTATAATTATTTAATTCTTAATCGGCTAGTTAAACGCATTATGAATAATGATACACCACTCGTACGTAAAATGCGAAACTAGATAAGCATATAAAAATTGCTTGTATAACTTCGTATATAAGTACAATTTAGGTGATAAGTGATAATACTTTTAACTAAAAAAAGATAAGTGGTGCACAAGATGGCTTGAGGCAACCACGTGTAAATCTAGTGCATTACATACTTTTATCACTCTTAAATATTTAACTTTAATTTCTTTATAAACGCAAATGTATCCTATTGGATTAAGTTAAATATTGATCACAATTAAGTATACATGTCCTTAGCAAAAGCTAGCGCACTCACACTTTAATAAAATCATTGTTGGTTGTGAATTTGTGATGGTCAAAGTAGTTGATCTAAGCAATTAATTGATCGAGAAACTAAGTTTATTCATTAAGCATCTCTTAAAAAATAGAAATATTTTGTACGGACTAATATTTTAGCTATATCTAAGGGTCTGTTCTCTTCCGTTGAAATTGAGTTCAGTTCAGCTCAGCTCAGCTTAGTTCATTTCATTTCAGTTCAGTTCAGTTCAGTTCAGTTCAGTTCAGTTCAACTCTTAATTTATGTCTAATGATATTACTAATGATATAAAACCAAATTTCATTCTTTTAAGCTCTTATTACAACGACAACAACAACAACTACAACAACAACAACAATAATAATAATAATAATAATAATAATAATAATAAAACAATAATAATAATAATAATAATAATAATCAATAAATAATAATAACAATAATAACAATAATAACAATAATAATAATTATAATAATAATAATAATAATAATAATAATTTGGAGTTAGATACTAGTTAGATACATGTATTAATTAAAACATTAAAGAGAGTGGGTTAGGGTGTTGGACTGTTGGGCCGTTGCCTCTGTTAGCTTTTCGTGTTTTTTTCTTTCTTTTTTTTTTAAAAAAATATTTTTTTTTAAATTTGTTTAAATGGGTTAGATACATGTAAGTGTTTTGTGTTCTTTTGTCATAATACTATTTTATTTTTAAATTAAATAGTATATGTGTTTAAAATGTTTAGAGGTTTCAAGTTTTTAATATATTTTCCATAAATTTTATAATTATATAGTATATTCGTAAATATTTTAATATGTACATTTGTATATACCCATATGTATAGTAATAAATAAATAATCAAATATCACTAATCCGTAGTTAAAAATCACTAATTAATAAGTTCAGTTCAGTTTAGTTTAGTTCAGCTGAGTTCAGTCTATCAGAACAGGCCTTAAGTAATCACTAAAGTATATTACCATTATATGAATTTTTAGCTAATTAAGCTTATCCGTTGATTATTTCACTGTTTTGATTAAAAGTTGGTACGAGAAGAAAGATGAGATAACTCACAGGCTACTCGAGCTCATCAAATGTCAAAACTTATTCCAAGGAGGCTTGACTCGAGACATTAGCGAGTTTTGAGTTGAGATACTCAAAGCTTGACTTTAAAAAGGTTAAGAAATTAAACTTGAAAAGATCTATTGTCAAATATGGTCGATCAGTAAAGTAAATATATGGAATTAATGTTCAACATATGAATTTGGTTATACCATGAATGCTACAGAGTCCAAACAATCAATTAATGAGCTACGTATCAAAATTAATTTGGTCAAAACTTGATCAAAGCTTAGCTGAGTAAGCTCAACTCATTAACTGGATTAACTTAGCTTGTGAGAGGTATCCGTTCATTTAATTTGATTTCCTTCCTTATCACCTTAACAAAAAGAAATACTCGCTAAAAAAGAGGTTTATAAGTCAATATGCATTTGTATGAAGAAAGTTTAAGAATAATTATGATAATTATTATTATGGATATCCATTTTTTTATTAACTAATCCTAAAACTTAGATTTTAATATTTTTACACATATATAATAATGTATGTCCAATACTTTGTAAGAGTAGTTATATAAAGAACTTCACTAAAAACACATTTACCTCTTTCAAGGACTTGAACCCAAGAAAATAGCTTAGCACCCAATAAAAAAAACCAAACCTCCCTTCATTTCCTTATTAAGATCAAAAATATAGTAACGATGTGTCCTTTTGTACCCACTTTAGGATTGGAGTATCCTATAGAATTAGAAACATATGACCAAGTTTTACTAGATAATAATTATCTAAACTTGGACTCCATTTTTCTTCCTAATATTTTGTTGTCTCAAGCTCAAGATGATAGCAATAATAATCTTGTTAAGATTAAGCAAAGAAAATCGCCGCTAAGTACAAGTTTAGCCGATCATCAGTTTGGGGCAGCCGTGACAACGACCACAACAATGAAGAGAAAAATTAATCATAACGCTAGTGAGAGAGATCGGAGGAAGAAGATTAATGTCTTGTATTCTTCTCTACGTGACTTGCTTCCTCCTACTGATCAAATTGTAAGTTAACGCTAAATTTCTACTTCTATATATACATCTAATTAAACATGATTTAATATTTCTAATAATTTGATCATGTTTTACCTATTTAAAGTTGGGGTTTATATATGTATAATGGTTAAAGTTACGCGTGAGGATTCTCTCTAATTATTGAATAATGTAGGAGTCCGAAAAAAGTGACATGAAATAGACAAGGTATCAGGTCCTAGGGGAAATTGAACTCCCAAAATAATTCTCAATAAATAGAACGTCAAATTTTGGAAATTATTGTATAACTGGTTGTATTATGTGCATGGGACATCAGAAACTAATTTTTCTTATAAACAAAAGAGGAAAAAAAAAATTAATAAGGTTGTACTTACCATTGCATGCACATCTATCCCTTGTGACTTTGCCTGTGGCCTGGTTCAGCTTACTAAAAACTAAGTATTTTTCACTTCATTCACCAAAATAATTCTTCTTTTCAATCAATACAACAATCATATTGATCATATTCATAAATACTTCGTATAACATATTTACATTCATACCTTTATTTATTTAATAATCCTGCTTTTAATTTCAATGAATTGTGATTAATCTCCCACATAATTAATATAATATTATAGCTATAAAAAGTTTTAGATAGCATCACAGTTTAACAAAAAAAATATATGCATTTCTTACATAATAGAACATAAGTATTTTTATTTATTAATTATGAAAGTTAACCCATTAAGTAATACTTCTTGTTGTTTAGCTAATACTCCAAGTTTAAAAATTTATCTATTTCCAATTGATAGTAGAATAATAAAAATGTAACGTATGTATTGATGGTACAGTAACATACGTGTCGACATTTGGATGATTTCAATTTTTAAATATGCTTAATATGACTAAACTAAGCTAGTACAATATACTACACATTAATTAAGTACTTAGAATGTTTAGGGTTAATTTACACATTATTGACTCAAGTTGAACTTTATTTTAAGCACTTTATTCAAATAACAATTAAGTAATTAGGATGATAATTATTTACAAATCTAATTACAGAGAAGGTTAAGCATTCCTGCGACCGTTGCACGGGTGCTGAAGTATATACCAGAGCTACAAGAAGAAGTGAAGGGTCTAACACATAGAAAAGAAGAACTCTTATCAGTAATTTCAGTGTTACAAGGAAATAATACAAGGAAAAATATTTACGAGGAAAAGCCGAAAATGGACAAAATCAAGGAGAAATCAACATCTTTTTCAGTTTCTATGAATAATTTGAGTGATAAAGAAATGGTAATTCAAATATCAACATTATTTGAAATGGTATCATTGAGTGAAGTGCTTATATTGCTTGAGAAGAATGGTAATATTATTATTGATGTTTCTTCTTTTCAATCCTTTGGAGGAAGGTTTTTCTACAATATACATTTGTGGGTAAGTACCTTAATTTATCTTTTACCTTTATACTGGTTTAAAAGAAGATATCTTTTTACCTTATCGGATGCATTTTATTTACCGTAGTTTGTTTAGTGACGATGACAAATAGGTCATTTGGTTCATGTCAACTCAGTCCAAGAAGTTATATTTTAGTAATGATTTATTTAGTTCAAAATTGATTTGGTTAATTAATTGTATGGTTGTGTTTGGATTCATGTTGATTAGGTTTTTATGATAATATAATAACATTAGTCACAATAAGGGCCTGTTCACATTTATTGAACTGAACTGAACTGATTGGAGCTGAACTGAACTGATTAGAGCTGAACTGAACTGAACTGAATTGAATTGAGCTGAAATAAATATTTTATGAGAGAGGGAAATTAAGAGCTGAACTGAACTGAACTGATTGGAGCTGAACTGAAATTAAGTAAATGTGAACAAGCCCATTGTATGTGTTAAATTGGTTTGGACTAGATCAATTTTAGCTTGAGCTATATATATATATATATACACTTAGTATAATTATATATTCCGCACATTTAAAATTTTGAGTCAAGTAATCGAATAGGAGTAAATTTTATATTTTATAAGGTATTGACAAATGAAGAAGGGTTGCTGTACAAGATTCTCCACAAGTCTACCATATAATTGTTGACTTGATATACTCCTTACGTGTTTTAATAAGTGTTACAATTTGACTTTTTTCACTATTCACACCATAGTTTTGACTTGATTAATTCACTAATATATTTAAAAAAAAAACAAATGATATTGTATAATATATTGTTAAATTCGTTATAATGTATACTTTCATAATATGAATTTTCCTATAATTTTATTAACATATGATTAGATAAATATAATTAATGGTCAAAGTTATGTCTCAACATGCGTGTTTGGTCATGCATTTCAGCCACTATATGTATATATGTGTTAATTCATGGCCATAACTTTTGTAGTATATTGTTGTAAACTTGTAACTCTACATTTTTATGTTAATGTCGTGGCCACTATTTGTTCGACTCATTATATTAATAGTAGGGTCGATCACACCTAAACGCGGACGTACTAATTAATCTAGCTAATTCATAACAAACTAAAATAATAATCAAGTTACTAAATGATTAGAGAATAAAATTAGGTGCTAAGTAGTGGTCATGAATTCTTTAAATGAATATAATGTTGTCAAAGCAGGACTTAAAGGAGTATTCAATTTCCTTTCTTTTCTTTTCTTTTCTTTTCTTTTTTCCTTTATTTTACAAGGATAGTTAAAGATCAATGTTCTGATTAAGCTGTTTATTTATCTATTTAACAGTTGGAAGAAAACTATGTTGTCAACTACGACAAATTGAATGAAGAGCTATTATCCTTGTTTCAGAAGCAGAAGTTGTATACACCTTGCAGTTGAAGTGCCCATATCACGTGACATTTTGCCTTTTGATCTTTTTTTTTTTACTAACCTAGGAAAAAACATATGCATATCTTTTACTTCGTAACTCTTTATTATAGTGTAAATGTCAATTTACTCAATTATACATGCATATCATTGCTGTAGTATCTTTTACAAATGTGAATGATGAACATAGCAAGGAACTATTTTCAAACAACTGAAAAAAAAATAAAAAAAATGTAGTCATTGCTTGGGAAAAGAGGGAATACGAGTTATACATCTTATTGACAATGAAACATATCCAAAGAAACCAAAGTAGAAAAAACTAAATTGGTAAATGGTGTCGTCTTAGTACCGGAACAAGTAGATGTAGCTCGACCCAAGTCCAGGTAAAAAAAATTGCACAAGGCTCACACTGTGGTGTTTGTTGAAAATTGAGCAACAAGAGAGTTACTCAGCCATGGAAAGCTGCATCAAATATGTTGTTGATGGACTTTATCAGGTAAAATGTGGACTCCATGACGCTGATGAGCAGTTTCTCTACAGCGCCGACTTTGATATAATCCAATTTATTGATGCAATGCTTCAATATGTAATGGAAACCCAGGAATAAGTAACGAGAAACACCTCGTAGTGATTTTTTTCTTTTTTTGTAAACAAAGCGTTAATGATTACCTTGTATTGATTCAAATGCTTCAAAATAGCCGTCCGAATGCTGAAACAACACCTTGAATGACATATTGGAAACCCTGGGAACATTTTGGTTCAAGAGATCAGTTTATTTGTCCATTTCAAGTACAAAGCTAAACATTATGCATAATACTTCCAACAAAAATGGACTTTCAATCACACTTTAATATTCATAACTAGTACTACAGAGTATATTCATCTTTTGTTGAAGTATGCTGATTCAAGCCATGCTGTTGCTGCTGACTCTCTTCAGAAGCTTCTAGAAACGATGCAGATTGTTCCAGAAGCTTCCTCAGGTTCTGACCTGGCAATAGGTTGTTACAGCTCTAACAGAATTCTGTTACTAAGATATTTTTGTAATATCTATTTTCCTTGTAATAGCTGTATATATAGAGGTTTACTATCTTATTTTCTCACTTGTACAAAAATACGCTCGAAAAAAATCAATGAAAGAATTTCTTATCTTTTCTCTCTGAATTTTCCTCAAAGTTTCTGCTACAGTATTTTTCAGCAAAATAAACATCTTTCTGTACCAATACAAAAAAGTTTACTTGCATACTTCCTCCATTCTTTATTACTTGACCCGCTTTGACTTTTACACTATTCACCACCCCTCCTTTGACTGTCTTTTGTGAATAATATGTAAGGAAATATATATTCATGTAGGATTTTTTGGATTCGTCTCAATAAGTACTATCATAATATATAACTCTTATAATTTTTACTCATAAAGAATTGAAGTTATTGATTGTTAAAGTTTTGCATTGGCAAGCGTGATAAAAGAAACAGGTCAAGTAAAAAAAACAGAGGAAGTATATCATTATATCACCCTTTGCCTAGAAATAAGCATGAAACTCATCATTCAAATTATTTCCCATATTATAGTGAATGCAGTGCAATATTCATCATTCACATTAAGGCCTTGTTTGATTCACCTTAATTTTACTGAATTTAAATTATTTTTACTGAACTGAACTTATTTTTACTGAACTTAATTTTACTGAACTGAACTTATTTTTACTGAACTTCATTCCAGATTAAGAAAACTGAATTTTACTGAACTGAACTTATTTTTACTGAACTAAAATTAATTTTACTGAACTGAACTTATTTTTACTTAATATTATTTTTTTAAGGTGAAGAGAACAGGGCCTAAGTTTGGCTTCATATAGATTCTTATTGACTTTGTAATTTCTAAAGCCAATTTTCAAGGCAAACCTGAAGTTGTTTACATACATGGTTTACAAATGTAATATGGACTTCTTAATGCCAGTTAAAATATTGTGACATATCTTAGGCAACAACCATTGCTAATATCACAAAGTTTGTGTTTTTAATAAAGGCTCTAGTAACAAATCCGAGCTTTCTTTTTTATAACAGATCGGTTGATTTTCATAATCTGGAATGAAGCTCCCAGCATCTGATGGGTGCAAAAACAAAGGATTCAAGAAGAAAATATGATATTTTTGTTAAAAAAAAAATTCAATATGTAAAATTAGAGAAAGACAAGGATATAAGGCTAAACTTTTTAGGCTAAAGCTATGAGAAAAGAATTAAGCTGAATTTTAGCTTACATTCAATGGCTCTGATACTAGAGAAATTGAAGTATTTTCAAAATAATCCATCTAAAACCAGAGACAGAGAAATAATTCTAGATTAAAACAGTAAGAACAACATATAAGGAGGCTCAAGTTAATCACTGTGATAAACAAAAATGTTTATTACATGACATTGTGAATATTGTGATAAATAAATCGATCATTTAATCATCATCAATGCTATGTGATAAATTGTTTGTCTCAGAGATAAACGTGTATTTCCTGACAATATACAACTCATTGGGTCATTGCTTGTGCTAAACGGTGATGTTAGCAATTATCATACGAACTTAACACAATATGTTCCAAAGCAACCACACAATTTCTTTTAAAAAAACCCCGCACAATCACTAACAAAATCAATGATCATTTTAATCCAACATACCTGGAGAGACGTGTTATGATTTTCTGCATTTCGAGAAGAGATGTGTTCAGCAGGTGTTGTAGGCATTTTTACACCATCAACAAAAACATCCCGAATTTCTTTTATGTTTGACCAATGTTCACCTCCATCTTGACATTTATTTTTCAGCAGATTACAATTTCCAATTGTCAATGACTCTAATGATGATGGGAGCTTTGGTATCGAGCTCAAAGATATGCACTCTTCAATCTGTAAATCAACAAGTGAAGTAAACTGGTACAGAAAAAAAGGCAGACTCTTCAGCTTCGGACAATTCACAATCTTAAGCTCACGAAGCGATGGCATGATATTGTCTTCCAATCCATTCCATTCTTGAAGCTCTGTCATATCATGTAACACCAATGACTCAAGTGAATGGAAACACCCAGTACTAGTACTAATCACCCCACAAAAATTTTGGTCCAAACTTCTAATGTTGCTCATTTTTTTAAGATGAAGCAGTTTAAGATCTGGGAGCTGTCCGATTTTAGGCAAGTTGCAACAAGACTGACATCCAACTAACTCAAGTTTCTGAAGCTTAGTTACGTCGTGTGAAAGCCATTGTGGAAATGTAGCACCACTGTAATCTACAATTCTTAACTCTTTCAGCTGATGATGAGGTTTTAGGCCTCTGAGAACCTCCTCTGCAACTGAAACATTATCTTTCCATATTAACACCAACTTTTGGAGAGAAGACTTACAAGATAACATTGCCTCCTTAGCCTCTGCCTCGTCAGTGATTTTATGGAGGTTTGTTATCTTCAGTGATCCCTGAATATGATTCATATCCTTCAGCTCTGTAATACGAAGCCCTTCTTTGTTATCTACGATGAATACAGGAAGAGTCCGAAGGTTGACAAGCTTCCCAATTTTGCTCAGCTTAGAGGCCATTTTCAGTATATGACTCTTGCCAATCAATGAATGCTAGATTAGTCAATTTGTTGAAATCTACAGGTAATTGAGGGATTTCAGGGTCGGTTCTAATCTTGAGAATTTGCAGGGCAGAAAGGTTAGCAAGCTTTTCAGGTAATTTTTTGACTTTAGTGTTTGAAATGTCTAGATAACGAAGGTGCTTCAACTTTTTTACAGAATTGGGAAGGTCAGAAATATCGGTATTATTCAAGGCTAGCACTTTAAGACCAGATAATTTATCAAAAAAATTAGAAGGAATTTCACCAATTCGCCCAATCTTTTGCCTATTATAAAGAAGAAGCAATGTCCTTAAACTTTTAAGGTGCTTCCTAATTTTGTCCCATAAGGAAGGTTGGATTTGCTTATTGGAAGACAAGGAAAAATGATGGGTGTATTTATCCCACTCATAAGAGCTAGACATGCATTCATCGCCACTTCGGACATATGCTTTCGAGCCTGCAGGCATTTGAGCAAAGTCATGAGTGAATTTATGAATCTCGTACCTTGTCAAGCCACAGCTGTCAACTGGTTGAGGTTGAACAATTGATCGTTCCAGTAGCTCATTGAAAAAGTTCTGCCCATTTAATTCAAAACCTGATGCATGAGGTTCCACTAGTCGTTCTCCAATCCACATATGGATCAGATCCTCCCGACAGAATACGTAGTCATGAGGGAACAAGGAGAAGTAAACAAAGCATCTCTTCAATTCCAATTTAAGATTCATGGAGCTTGATTTTAGAATTGGAAGTATTTCTTTTTCAATTTCAGGCCACTTCCACAAGTCATCGTGAATGAACCATTGATCCTGTTCTTTAGTCCCAAGTAATGACTGTGCCAAGAAAGTAGCAACCAACGGCAAGCCACAAGATTTTTTAGCCAAGTCAAAGCTTATAGAAGGCTGAGGTGGTGGACAGCGTCCACAGCGATGTACAAGGTCTATTTTGTGGCGGATTAGGTCTCGACAATGTTCCTCTAACAAGGGCTTTAAATAGAGGAGGGTAGTTTGAGCCATTTTTCCAACTCGGGGACTAAGAGAAGTAATGAGAATTTTTTTCCCAGCTGTTAGAAACTCTGTCTGGAAATTGCACCAAGTATTTGAAGAGACTTCTTCAAGATCATCTAGCATTAATAACCACTTATCACAGCCCAAGAGATGACCTTGACCATTTCCGTTGAGCCTCCCTTCAGAATAGACCACCTGTAACTTTGAAAACAAGTCTTCCATACAAAATCTTGTGCCAAACATAGAAGCTTGTAATATAAGAGGAAATTTAGCCTGCACTTTCTTGTGATTAAGAATGTGTTCAGCAAGTGCAGTCTTTCCAACGCCTCTCATGCCAATTATAGAGACTCCATTCGAACTATATTTCTCTGAACAAGTTAGCTCTTCAAGTATGATCGGGACATCTGCATCCCTCCCGATTAAATTCAGCTTTTTGTTCGGAGGACTTGTTTTAATTAGAGGTTGAATCCGTTGGCTCAAGTCCACTTGTTCTTTCAAAACATCTATTATTTTAGCCATCTTCTTTTGCAACTCATCTATTTGACGAGGCTTAGTCAAGTTTTTTAGCGAGACCAGAATACAACGCCCGGAGACACTGGTATATGTAGGTGGTTTCAATTTTTGAATCTCATACTCAATTACTTCAATGAGATCTTCAGCTTCGCATAAATAGCTTAACAATTTATCTGCTTCTCGTTTGCTGCTGGGTTTTACCTCATGTAGCAAGTTTAGGGCTTCCTCTCTACTCATTTCCAGTTTTCTCAGTGCTACATCCATATCTTTTATCTTATATATCTCATCACCGATGACTTTGAATACTGGATTCCAAAGGGTCTTAAGAACGTTTGATGCAAAGGCATCTAGAAAAGCACTATCCATAATGCCCTTTAATCAAATAAGATTTCCCTTTGCCTTCCTGAAAATATCAAGGGATATAAGATTAATAATGTTGCAACTTAAATATTGTAAGGTTAGAAAATCCTAAAATACTTTAAATATGAGTACATATTTAAAACTTGTAAAAGAACAAAGTTGATAAAATTATGAGAAAGCTTAGAGATGTTGCCCTTGATGTTTTGATGATAACACAAGACAAATAAAAGGACTAATGCCTTAATCAGTTTTGTAGTTTATTTATAAAGTTGCAGGATCAATTCAAGGCATAAGAACAAGATAAACGGAGAGCTCTCGCTCACCATCGAGCGAGCTATCGCTCGAACCCCTGTCGAGCTATCGCTCATGGTCGAGCGAGCTATCGCTCGGCCCCTATCTCACCTTCGACCTTCGCGAGCTACCACGCGAGCTACCGAGCGAGCGCTCGGCCTAGTCGAACCAATATGTCTTCGTGAGCTATAGCTCACTCGCATAGGAGCTATAGCTCCAATTTCGTCGCAACTCCATATGCTTCCGAAACTACCGAGCTACCTCTCGAGCTATAGCTCACTGATCCTAAGCCATTTCAACACCATCCATAGATGAGAATCAAAATCCCAGAAATTTGGGACAGATTCTCACATATGGAGAGAACAAAACAAAACAAACAAACCAAAACAAAAAACTAAATTGAATTAAAGAAAAAGGGTCGACATGCCGACTACTTTGCCCAAGTCACGCACAATGCGCCACTCGCTTATTGTCCGTTCTAAGACGAGTCAGGCTTTCTCCCTTGGCACTACTCCTGGTGCCCACGTAGCACAACCCTTTGTGCTGCTCAAATATGTTTGCTAGCACGACCCCTTGGTGCTAACAAGACCCCTTAGTTGAACCCAGCACTCACTCTTAGTGCCTTAGTCTGAATTTATGACCAAGTGTCATTTAGTCGTAGACAATTGAGCACCCAAGCTATCACCCTTGCTAGTATGCCCGATCACTCACTTGGCACCCTCGTGCCTTAGTTTTCCTCACACTCTCTAAGTGTTTGAAGGAAAGAATTGAGTTGCAAGAGAACCAAGTTGCAAGAGAACACAAATGCTTTTTGAAATTAGATTATTTCCGACCTAATCGGCCAAGAAAACTAAAACCCTAAACCCTAGAAGAGAGACGAAAGAAAAGAGAAAAAAAAAGAAAAAGGGAAAATCATGAATATTAATTAACCAACAATTAACGAGTCATAACATGTTGGATTGTGGGGTAACCGGCTGTTTTGGTAAATTATGCAACATGTCATTATGTTGTTGGCTCTATTTTAAAAAAAAAAAAATTAAGATTTATTTTTTATTTGTTATTGATTTTTTTTTTTCAATTAACAAGAATATCAATTTTTCTAAAAAAGAAATCCCAGCCAAGCCATCCTCCCCACCCAGCGACTCACTTTTCCTCACCCACGACACCACCATCTCTCTTTTTCCCCTTTCCTTTTTCCCCGAACCCTTAGCCCGACATCCACCCCTCTTTCTCCCCTCTTTCGCTCTCTAATTTGCCGGGAAATCGCCGCTTAAAGTTTGGTGATGAAGTCGTTCATTGAGTCTCACCAGAATCTCATTTATGTAAATTTCTTCTGCCGGCTTATTCTCCGTTCCAATTCTTAATGGTTGCGACAGGCCGACATCTTCAACGAGGACAAATGTGTTGGTTTAAGGGTTTGGGGGCGGCGGTATCTGGGGAATGGGGGTCGTCGCCGGATGGATGGACAATGGAGGAAGGCTGTATCTGTCAATACGGGGACAAAGGGGAGGTTGTGGTGCCAAAGTAGGGGTGGGGGAAGCGAGAAAGGGGAAAGGAATGAGTGAGACTGTCGCTAGGGGATGAAGGTGGTCGCTAGCGGTGGCAAAGGGGAAGTTGGTGGGGAAAAGGTCTTGGTGTGCCCGTGAGGGATTTTTAATTTTTTATACAATGTAATTATAATTAATATTTAATAAATTATTTTTAATTAAAAAATTAATTTGTTTAGTAGGTTATAGGTCATTGGACCTATTAAAAAGAAAATACCTTTAAACCTCGACTTATTTTGAGTTAATGAAACGTTGGCTTATTTAGAGCTAACCATGCGCAAAGGTTGACTTATTTTTTACAAATTTTCCTATGTTACATCTGCCATCGTACTCCACATTCGCACAGCTCTCTTCGCCCCCATTCAATCGAAGCAGCTTCTCGGCTATCTCTTCGCCTTCATTGAAGCAGCTTCTTTTCTAACACCATTGCTAGGGTTTATCGTCAATATTTATTAGTAATTTTGGGCGTGTGACTCTATGCAATTAGGGTTTATCGTGAACTCTAAAGGTTTGCATTTCTCTCATCTCCTACCACGCAATCTTTGATTATAGTTGTTGGTCCATTGTAATTTTCACCATTATTTGTCGATTGAGTCCCCCACCCCCCTCCCCCCTTTTTAATTGATTTTAAGGTCAAATCTGTTATTAATTGCTAGCCTTTGTTAATTAATTGTTTAATCTCGTTCTTCAAATTAGGTATTTCAATCTGCTGCATGAACTTTTTGTTGGTGTATTCTCTTTGTGTGAATGAATATGTTCTAGAAACCTAATTGTCTTTTTCATTGATTTTGCTAAAATGTATGCCTTTTTCGTGTGAGAGTTCTTTGATTATGATTTGATTGTTTGTTGGATAGGGAAGTAGTGGTTCCTGTGATTTGTTTTTTGTGGTTATGTTAGGTGTTTGCTTGTGTGGGGTTAAGATTGAAAATGTTGGTTTTGGGGATCCACTGTTGAAAACTATTGTCTTGCGGTAGATCTTAGTAACTGGGTGTTCAATTTTTGATTGCGTCGCTTTGATTATTTTTGAGTAGTTTGGTTCATAAATTGGTGTTTGACCAAATTTTGATGTATTGGTTTGATTGATCCAAGGTCAATTACCCAAACTCGTGAGGAAGTGGCTGTTAAGATTGTATTATTTCTCCGATTTTGCCTATTATGCTTCAAAGTTAAATTACAAGTTATATAAAGTAAGTTGATGTTATAAGAGTACTGAAGCATCTTCTCCACTCTCTCTTTCAGCTATCCTTGTGCAATTCTTTGCTCTGCCTCTAAACCCCTTTGCAGCAGACATGAGCAGCTTTAAACAATCACATGGTGAAGATAGAGAATGCAGGGCTGCTTTGCCTGATTAATTGTGATGTATCCTAAGCTGCATCTGGAGCCTTAGGACCAGAACAGATGAGCCATCAGCGACGAGTTAGCCCTTATAATGAGTTAGCCCTTTCCTTTTGTAGATTTGAACTATTTTTTCCCCTTAAAATTCAGGGAATCGAAAGGCTTTCACTTGGCTCTTTCAAGACTGGTGCCATTCTCTTGGTAATTTTTCTGTCAAATTTGTGGCTTTGTGTACTTGGCCAACTTTTTACTTCTGACTAAGTATACGTTGGGTTTGTATATGCTCATGTATTGCTTGATTTTGTCTGGGCTTCTCTATATTTATGCTTAGCACTTTAGTAGGTTTCAATCAATGTGTGTAATTACAGTCATCCTATACCTTGACTGACTTTGTTATTTCTTTGTTTTTGAACTATTCTATCCAAAACAGATAATTTTTGCCTCCCTTGCACAATACTATGCATATAAAACACTTTATGGGCTTGATTTTATAGATATCAATAAATTAATGTGCATGATTACTAGATATTGGGAACTCCTAGCCTTTTTTAATGATTTACTTGAGACTTGGGTTTATGTAACATAAAGAAGGTCTGGACATTATGATCATACTACGAAATTTCAGTCTTGGATACAGTTATGCATAGATATGTTTCAGGAAGCTGTTTTATACATCTCTTGCTTAGACTTAGGATTAGAAAAAAAAAAATCATATTAAGGGATCTGGATACAAATATCAAACTGTGATTACGGCTGTTAACTGCAGATGAATTTAATGATAATCTATTGTTGTTTATCAGATGAAATAGGAACTGTCCCTAAGCTAAAATGGTTGTAGGACAGGTCAATTGACAGCAAAGAAGGCAAGCCTTTGGCAAGAATACTCAGCAAAGAATTTGTGAGTGCATTTCATGATAAATTCAGGTTCCATAAGTTCTCTAATTTGGCAAGGGATGCAGGAATTTGACCTGTAAGATGATTGTAACTAAGGGAAAGACTGGTGAGAGATTTAAGGCCACTAATTTGCTCAGGGATCCTTCCAGTGAGCTGGTTGTCGCTCATGGAAACATCTGAGAGCGCAGTAAGACTGCAAAGTGATACGGGTATTGGACTAGAGAGCTGGTTATATTAGAAAGATCGACAAAAGTCGGATTATGAAACTGCCCAATAAAACCAGATATTTCCCCAGATAGTAAATTGTGACTGAAATCAAGAAACTGCAAGCTCTGAAAGTTTTTAAAGATAGGTGGGATAGGACCTGCAAGATAATTTTTTGCTAAATTGAGTTGGAGGAGGCCCTTAAGGTTTCCTAAGCTAGGAGAGATTCGACCCCTCAGACGAATTCCATCTAACAAGAGGGTCTTAAGAGTAGGAAGACGACTGATGGCTGAAGGGATGGGTCCCACGAGAGAGTTTCCCTCTAGGACAAGCTTGCGACAAGTATCTTAAACTGGTGAGAGTATTCGGAATGTTTCCTCTAATGCGGTTCATCCCACTGATCACCAGCACCTCAAGAAATTGCAAGTTGCCTAAAGCAGACGACAAGGTGCCCTCCATGTAAATGTTATCAGCAACACCACCGCTAGAAGGTTTCTGCAGCACCAAAGAAGTGACTCTTCCAGTAGCTGGATTATCAAATGGCCGTTACAGTTTTTTTTTTTTTTTTTTTTTTTTTTAATGGATCTCTAATCTATTGTTGTTTATTGTAGTTGTATTGGAGGAAAATGCACCACTAGTTTAGTCAATTTGAGTCGTTTGTGCTGCTGCTCTCTACTCGCCTTTTATTGTTGTCTATTGTTCCCGGACGCTTTTGATGTTGTGTTTCTTACTTTCTTTAAAAGTCTTGTAATTTATATTTTAATTTGTAATTAATATATACTTCATAAGTTACATAAATATTGTTACAATAGTGTATAATATAGTTTGTACATCAATTTCGAAAAATTGCAAAAAAATTCATTTAAAGAAATGACTATTTGCAATTGAGGTAGTCCTTAGCTAGCTGCTAATAGTGTTTATTCACAGCGGGTGAGTTGCTAATAGTCATTTTTTTTAATTAAAAAAAGGCTATTAGCAGCTGGCGTAGTTATAGGCCAGCTGCTAATAGTTTTTTTTTTTAATAAAAATAAAATACTATAAGCCACCGGCGTAGTATTAGGCCAGCTGCTATACTATTAGCAACTATCCTAGTACTATGTCAGTTGCGAATAAACACTATTAGCAGCTAGCCAAGCATTATGCTAGTTGCAAATAAATACTATTAGCAACTGAAAAGTGTCCCGATGCTAATGATATTCGCAATAGCAGCCTTACATATCAGTTGCTAAAAGTCACTTTTTACCAGTTGCTAATAACATTTTTTCCACTGGTGTGGAAAATAAATTAAATGAAAGCAATCATCACCTTTTTAAGTAAGTCTGCATTAACAAGATACAACCGCCAAAGATCTGTCACTGAATTGATATTAGCCTCTTTCAGCCTTGTGTGAATTATTCCATTCCTTGCAATATGACACAAGTGCCACACCTCATCATTTAGAGGTGAAGTCCCTGCAGCCGAAGAAACCGATTGCTCATCAACCAAAGTTTGAGGAAATAGAAACAAAAAAACAGAAGATTATACGTATTTGTTATTTACAATATTATCATTTTATATCTTTAATCGTGCTAGTGGTACTTCTACATGCAAAGGACCATAACATGTCAGAATTATATACAGTATTAAATCATAAGTGAATGTAGAAACAGAGATCTGTTTCACTGACCTTGATTTTGGATGAAAGCAATGCTATCATGCTCGAATTCGGGTATGTGTTTTACCAGCCAGTAATCTTCTCCACCCGGTCTAGCACATCTTTTTGACAGGTGTGGACAACCCTTGATGAAAAGCTTATACAGAGAAGTAATATGGCAGAATGAATCGGATAAACACAATAGATGAGGACAATTTATTATTTCGAAAGTCAGGAGAGATGTGAAAGAACAAAACCAATCTGGAAGCTCCACCAAACCTCTACAATCTCTAATTATGAGATGTTGAAGAGAAAATGCAGCAGATTTAACACCATTTGGCAGACTAGCCAATTTCAGATTACTGATGAACAAATACCGGAGGCTTTGAAGGCCTAGAAGGCCCTCTCCCTTCTCCAAATCTAGCTCTTCACAATTCTGTATATGTAACTTTTGAAGGCCGACAAGGAACTTCATACTGTTCGGAAGACTTGTCAATTTTGGACAGTCATTGATGCACAAGGTCCGGAGGGAAGTGAGGTTGCCAACACTATCATTGTCCCACATTGATATCATACTCTTACATGAATCAAAACTCAAGAATTGTAGAGAGCTCAAGTCAGAGAATCTGGAGCCAATTAAGCTCGACTGACATGTTGTCACCCTGAATTTTTTTAAGCTTGGCAATTGATGTACATCCTTTGGTAGCTCTTTCAACTTTTCACATCCATTGAAACAAAATGTTTCCAAATTCAATAAATTGCATATTGTATCTGGAAGACATCTAAGGATGGGATTATCGGACACATCAAGATACCTTAAATGCTTCAATTTCCCAATGGACCTTGGCAACTCCTCAAACCATAAATTTCCAAATTCTAAGATGCGTAAGTAGCTGAAATTGGATATAATAGACTCAAGAAAGGAATGACTTACATGATGATTCATTGCAAGATCAAATCGTAATGTTCGGGCTTTTTTGGCTCTAAGGGGCCCTTTATTACTACTGTCATCTTTCCAAACTATATGCCTTGCAAAGTATCTAACTATCCCATAATTCACATTATTCGAAGATACAATAGCTAACTCTTTCTCCATACTCTCAACAGCTAGATGAAGCAAAAGATCATGCATTTCGCTCTTGAGATAAATTCCATAGAAGTGAATACTCGTTTTTTCAATAAGGGACTTAGATGCTAGTTCCATGAAGTAAGAGTATCCCAACCCTTCAATATCCTTGTTTCTGTCTTCTGTTGGCAACAAACCAAGTGCACTCCAGATATATGGTACATGATCCGTAGAAAGATCCGTATCCTTCATAAGTGACAGAGAAGCAAAACATGGTTTTAAGTGAGACGAAAGTTCACAGTAACTCAATTTGAAGACTGCCATTACTGGACAATGTTCTTCAAATACATCACTTTTACTGATTTGTAGCCACTTGTGCGTATCTCTCTGACTCCTTAACAAACCCGCTAGAAGTTTAATCACAAGAGGGATGCCGAGACATTTCTGAATGATAGACTTGCCTATCTCACAAAGATGCGGATACATGTCTTCTTCACCTTTCTTGAATGCCAATTGTTTGAAAATAGACCAGCAAACATCATTTGGAAGACTGTCCAAATGACATGACTCAATCGTCCCACTAATAGCAGCCACCTTGTTGCTTCTTGTAGTGATCAAGATTACACTCCCTGAGCTACCAACAGCCATCACTTCCTTTAGCTGTAACCACATTTCTGGATCTTCTTCCCAAACATCATCCAACACAAGCAAGTACTTGTTGCCATATAACAAATGATGGAGCTTTTCCACCAACATACTCATATCTTTGTTGGGCGTACCATCATTCAAAATGCCCTTTATAATCTTGGATATGTCAAAATTGTCTGTGAATTTTAACCAGAACTTTAAATCAAAGTGTTGGACATCCTGATACACTAACTTAGCTAATGCAGTTTTTCCAACCCCACCAATCCCAACTATAGACAACACAGAAAGCTCAGTAACATCATTGATTTTTGCTATAATATCATTCTTAATCTCATCTCTACCAATAACATCGGGTTCACGGACATATGAACTTGTATTAAAAGGATCCTTGATGTCAACAGTTGAGTACTCAGCTGAAACCCTACTCAAACCAAAAGCATGGCTATCAGCCACAATGGAACCTAGTTTCCCATGTAAGCCCCGTATTTTGTGCCTCCATTTCAAATAAAAAATTATGGGATTTGATGAGGAAATATAGTCCCTAATCTTGCGACGAAGATGGCCTTCATTGAGACGGCGCTGTAAAGCATCAAAGGCCATCTCATCCAAGAGATCATCAATATCATAATTGACTAACCTCAGATTTATAAGCCAATTTCGTATAAATTCATCCGAGGATTGCTTGGATTCTGCATCTTCAAGGACCTCAATAGCAGCAGTGACATTTTTTGCTATCTCTTTGAGATCCAAAACAACGGAGTTGGGAGCATTGATTTCTGTAATACTGGCGATATTAACAATTATGGATTTAGCAATCGGTAGTAGCATTGGTTCCGCCATTATCAGATCCATAGAAAGAGACAGGTGAGAAAATGGAGAGGAGAAAATAAAGATGGTAGATTCTTGAGTTGGGTTTGTAAGAAAAAGAAAGTAAGAGTGACCTAAGGGGTAAAGACTAGACCAGGTTTACAATATGTTATTATAGACCCAACCTTATAGTAACCATACGAATGTGATTATATCATACGAAATATGATTATATTACTACAAAAGTGATTATATTATTTTGAAACTGTTATGTAAATGTATCACTCAAAAAGTAAATTTATCATTATAAAAAGTATTAAATATTAAATTACAACATTTAAAAGATTGATTTTTAAATTTTATCACCCTAAAGATAATTATATAATCTCATTCAATGGTTTAATATGAGATTATATAATTCAAAATATGACTCACAAAAACATAATTATATCGTCTAAAAAAATGATTATATCATCCAGAATGTGATTATATTATTTGAAAGTGTCAAATTTTAGGTCTACAATAATTTATTGTAAACCGGGTCCATACAAGACCAATTGGCAAATGAAGTCATTTTAATCGTTCAACAAAAAAAAATATGGGGTTTAGTTTTTGGAAAAATTAATCTGAATTTTGCCTCGTCTGCCGAAAATAATCCCAACTTTCGTTTATTATCTATCACTCCCAACTTTTGGGGGTATTAATTTTTGTTGAACCCAATAGGTCATCTAAGATGACCTAATGTAGCAGGTTACCTAGACACGTGTCAGCGTATGATTGGCTTAAATTTTTTAAAAAAAAAAATAAATAAAATAAAAAAAACCCACAAACCACCCATGCCCAGCGGCTGCCACCACACCCCCACCCCACCCCCACCCCGCCGGAAAATCACCCCCACCCCTCGAAAAACCCCTAGCCTGTTGCCGGAAACCGCCGCCCAACCTTCCCCTTACCTCGAAACCCACCCTTTCCCTTCCCCCACCCCCGAAAACCCCTCCCTCACTCCTGGAAACTGTTGCACAACCCTCCCCCTTCCCTCGAAACTCCCCCTTTCCCTTTCCCCATCCCCGAAAACCCCCTCCCCCACCCTGTTCCTCCGTCACTCCCCTCTCCCCCGCTGTTTTCCAACCTGAATCCCCTTCCCCTTCGTTTTCGTCGTTTCCCCCTCCCCGTCGTTTCCGCCCCCTTCCCCTTCGTTTCCGACCCAAATCCGGCCTCCCTTCCTTTATCCTCCCCCAATCTCGCTGCCATTAACGGTGGCTGCCGTTAAGGGGTGGCTGCCGTTTTGGTTGGCTGGGTTTTTTTTTATTTTGTTTTTTAAAATTTTTTTTATTTGACCATTCATGTAGTGACACGTGTCCAAAAAAATATAACACATAAATGTTGACCGGATTATCCGGTTGCAGGTAAGTTGGGATTATTTTCGACGGACAAGGCAAAGTTCAGATTAATGGGAGCAATTTTTCCTTTAGTTTTAAGATTTTTTTACCTTTAGAAATCTTTCAACCAAAAAAACCATAAACTCCTTTGAATTTTTTTATTTTTTTATTTTTCCCTTGGATCTACAGTTAATTATTTGGCCATCTAATCTATTAACTTATACTCCTTTGAATTTTATTTTTTTTTCCCATCTCTAAGGATCTAGAGTTAATTATTTGGCCATCTGATCTATTAATTTATACTCCTTTGAATTTATTTTTTTCCATCTATGAGGATCCAGAGTTAATTATTTAACCATCTAATCTATTAACTTATACTCCTTTGAATAAATATTTTTTTTTCATCTCTGGGGATCTAGAGTTAATTATCCAGTCATCTAATCTGTTAACTTATATTAAAAGCAAATACTTTCATAACACTTGTCATTACCTTGTAAATTTTTTTTTGTCTTTTTTGCTTTTTTTAATTTATTTTTTTTTCTTGCGAAATCTATAAGTGTTATGATATTTTCTTTTCAATTTGGTAATCATATTCCATACATACCCAAATAAAATACTTCTGAATATCTTTTATATACTTTATATTTTGTGATATTATTTTTCTCAAAATTACTTTACAATCGTGCATTGCACGGGATTTTAACTTTTTTTTTTGAAGGAACGGGATTTTAACTTAGGCCCTGTTCTCTTCACCTTAAAAAAATAATAGTAAGTAAAAATAATTTCAGTTCACTAAAAATAAGTTCAGTTCAGTAAAATTAATTTCAGTTCAGTAAAAATAATTTCAGTATAGTAAAAATAATCTCAGTTTAGTAAAAATAAGTTCATTTCAGTAAAATTCAGTTTTCTTAAATAAGAATTATAACAGAAATTCAGCAAAAATAATTTCAGTTCAGCAAAAATAATTTCATTTAAGTAAAATTAATTTAAGTTCAGTAAAAATAATTTAAGTTCAACAAATATAATTTTGTTTCAGTAAAAATAATTTCAATTCAGCAAAAATAATTTCATTTAAGTAAAATTAATTTAATCAATAAAAATAATTTAAGTTCAGCAAATATAATTTTGTTTCAGTAAAAATAATTTCAGTTCGGCAAAAAAAAATTCATTTAAGTAAAATTAATTTAAGTTCAATAAAAATAATTTAAGTTCAACAAATATAATTTTGTTTCAATAAAAATAATTTCAGTTCAGCAAAAATAAGGTGAAGAGAACGGGGCCTTAGTTTTAAAGTCTTTGTCAAAAAAAAAGTCTTACGATTTATTGCTTTCCAAATTTCTAGAAAAACATTGGTTCTTACAAATTTGAAACGAATAAAAATTAATAAAGGCACTATTTTTTCATAAAAAGGGATAGTACAACCAAACTATATACAAGACAAAATTAAAAATATTTACTACTCTCTCCGTTTTTAAATGTTTGCTCTATTTCTCCATGTAGTGCGGAATTTTAGGATAAATGGGATAAAGTAGTACTCCCTTCGTTTTTTTAATACTTGCTCTACTTTTTATTTTCGGTCGTTTTTAAATATTTGCTCTATTTCTTTATTTGGAAGGAAAATCTGTTAAAATATTTCAACTTTCACGTATTCGCTTTAAATAATCCCAACTTTAGATTATTATTAAATAATCCCAACTTTGGGGTGTATTCGCTCAAAATAGGCCCAAGTAATCTTTAGCCTGTTAAAAAGGTAAATGTTGACACGTGTCACCACGTGATTTGCTGAAATGTTTAAAAAAAAAAAAAAAAAAAAAAAACAGTCATAATTCAAAAACCCCCCACCATCACGGCATCACCTGTAACCACTGTCACCACTATCACCTATAACCACCATCACCTACGCAGCAACTTGCGCACCCATCATCGCATCCTGAAAACACCAGCAGCCACGTGCAATTACCCACGAACCAAAAACAACATCAAGCTATCGCTGCAACACTGCCTGTCGTCACCACCAAATCTAGGTAGCAACCTGCAAATTGCAGCAAAATCAATTGAACCTAACCCTCTTGTGGTTGTTGTGTGTTTGTGGGATGGTGCTGGTCACGGCGGAGTTGTCTGTGTAGAGGGTGATTATGCGTCTAGGCGCCGGAAAGTATGGAGGTTCCACGAGGGAGCGTGGTTGATGGTCGTGGGTGAGATTTCAAGGGTTTTAGGGATTCGTGGTGGAGATGGTGGTTTTGGGGAAAGGGGCGCGGGAAGGGAAACTATCAGCGTGGGGGAGGCCTTCTAGTCATCGGTGCTTGGGTGGGGAAGACGACTATGGCCACCGTGGTGGTGGTGGTGGGGAAGGTGGATCGTGGGTGGAGGCTGGCAATTTTTATTTTTATTTTTTTAAGTTTTTTTTTTAAAAAAATTTCAGCCCATCACATGGTTACACGCATTACCTTAACCTACTATAGCAAGTTAGTAACCGGTTAGGGTCTATTTTGAGCGAATACACCCAAAAGTTGGGATTATTTGATAATAATCTAAAGTTGGGATTATTTAAAGCGAAAACGTGAAAGTTGGGATTATTTTTAACAAATTTTCCTATTTGGAAAGATTTTATAATATTTAATTAATTTCTCTCACCTAATCGACCTACCATGAATCATATTTTATTAATTTCATATTCTTTCTTTTTCAATTCTCTCTACTACTTTTGCTTTTTACAATTTTATATTCTTTCACCAACCTACCCCACCACCTCTATATTTTATTACTTTCTCCAATTTCTCATAAAACTCCGTGCATGGAGAAATGAAACAAGTATTTAAAAACGAAGGGAATAATATACAGAGTTAATGGGGGTAGGCGGAAGAATAAAAAATTATTAAAAACAAAAGTAGTTGAGAGAATTGGAGGAAAAAAGAACAATAATTTTTTGGTGCAGCAAGCCATACCATGCGGCAGGGGTTACCCGAGTTTTTTTTTGTTAGGGGTTACCTGAGTTTTTCAGCCAAGTGTTACTTGACTTTTTCTGTCATGAATTACTTGAGTTACTCGGTAAAGGGTTCGGACAGGGGTTACTCGAGGTGTTCACTTGGTTAAGGGTTATTCAGTCAGGGGTTACTGGCATTTCTCATTCAAAAAATTGTGACTCGAATAACCCCTGACCGAGAAAGTCGAGTAACCCTTGACCAAAAAACTCGAGTAAACCCTAACTGATAAACTTAAGTAACCTGGAAACTCGAGTAACCTCTGACTAAGAAACTCAAGTAACCTCAAAAAACCCAAGTAACCCCTGACCGAGAAACTCAAGTAACCCCTGCTGAACGGTACAACAGATCGCATCATACAAGAAAAACCACTTTTCGTAGCGATTGTTCATTCGCTACAATATACAAGTATGTTTGTGAAATAATTAAGGATGTCGTATCATTTTTACAATTGCCATGGTTTTCCCATATAAAATCGATACGGAAAATATAATAATACATATCCACACTATTTTTAATTTTTTACACATTTATATAATTTTGAGAAATCGTATCATTTACAATCGCCACTAAATCCTAAAAATCGATACGAAAAGCCTTTTCAACACTAGATATATAAATATTGTTTGACAAAGAATACATAAAATATGTCATAGCTTATTGGTGAAACATTTAATATAAGAGTTTGAGGTTGCATGTTCGAATCTTGTAAAGATCATACGCATGTTTTTTTTTTTGAAGAAAATGAGTTGAACATTTATATCGATTGTAATCGCTACAATAATCACCACGATTGGATGTAGTTTTTCGTATCGATTATTGAGGCCAACCCCAGCGATATTGAAAACCACTACTAAAGGCTAAGGCAACGGGGGAT